GGTTTATTAAGTATGTTCGATACTTGTCCCAACTTGTCTAGCGGCGGGCCAGACTGCACTATTTACGCTAGCCTGGAACGGCTAGTGCCATTTGCACATCACACCTTGTACACGCAGAAAACCTTTCTTTACGTTTTGTAACTACATTTCTCTGTGTATGCAATTTGAAAAAAATGCCAAATAATTTTATTATTTTGAAACATTTTTGTTTATTATTTATTAATACATTATGACTATAAGAAAATAAGAAAATAAATTATGGTAAAATGACAAGTTACGGAAGGAGTTTTTCGATTTACAAAAGGTGGATCCCGCCAACCTACCGATATTTTTTAGAGTAAAAAAAGGTTGGGAACCCCTGGCCTATGGTATAGTGTCCCATGTGATTTTAAACTTCGTTGTTGAAAAACAACACGAAAGGTAGTTTAAACTACAGAATTTGATTTCCTTTAATACATCATAAATACACCATTTGATACACCATAAACCAGAGGCGCCTCTATTAAAGTATCATTTACACGATTTACAATTATGTACAAGATTCTGTAGTTGGTGGCAGAAGGTAATGGGAAGGGAAAGGTCCAAGCATAGCTCATTGTTATTTGATGTAGGGCTGGATACGTTGAATGCGTGGGGGGGGGGGGGAGGGGAGAGGAGGTGGCTTTATAGATAATTTGAATATGAGTGGCTTTATAGACAATTTAAAAGTGTGGGCTATATAGACAATTGGATTGTGGGAGGGGGGGGCTGTATAGACAATTAGATTGTGGGAGGGGGGGGGCAAAATAGACAATTTGAACACGTTGAATGGATGTATTGGCAGGTTGAATATGTGGGGGTGGGGCTGAATATGTGGGGGTGGGGCTGGATGGGTCGAGTAAGTGAATACTGCTAAATGTGGTAGCTTGAGTCCACCCAGCTCAAATGGGTACCTAACTCATGTTAGGGAAAGTAAAGGCGGCTGGTCAAAGTATTAAACGAACCTTCATATACCGAGGCCAAGAAACTTTTGAACTCTACTTCATCTGCCCAATGAATCGCTGGGTCTAAAGCGGTTTCTTTAATTATTTTACATGTGTTAGCTTACATTTGAAGAAACAAAAGTGTTTCTATATATTTAACAGATGTACGATAACTTAGAAATAAGATGTATAAAAATGGTACATTACAATTTGCATATGAATGTTACACACTACAAGTTTTATATATTTTAATAATACCTTTTTTTTAAATCTCAGACCATCCCTAGCTGTGTGAAACCAAATATTTGTCGTGTGTAACCAGACCATCCCTAGCTGTGTGAAACCAAATATTTGTCGTGTGTAACCAGACCATCCCTAGCTGTGTGAAACCAAATATTTGTCGTGTGTAACCAGACCATCCCTAGCTGTGTGAAACCAAATATTTGTCGTGTGTAACCAGACCATCCCTAGCTGTGTGAAACCAAATATTTGTCGTGTGTAACCAGACCATCCCTAGCTGTGTGAAACCAAATATTTGTCGTGTGTAACCAGACCATCCCTAGCTGTGTGAAACCAAATATTTGTCGTGTGAAACCAGACCATCCCTAGCTGTGTGAAACCAAATATTTGTCGTGTGTAACCAGACCATCCCTAGCTGTGTGAAACCAAATATTTGTCGTGTGTAACCAGACCATCCCTAACTGTGTGTCGTGTGTAACCAGACCATCCCTAGCTGTGTGAAACCAAATATTTGTCGTGTGTAACCAGACCATCCCTAGCTGTGTGAAACCAAATATTTGTCGTGTGTTACCAGACCATCCCTAGCTGTGTGAAACCAAATATTTGTCGTGTGTAACCAGACCATCCCTAGCTGTGTGAAACCAAATATTTGTCGTGTTACCAGACCATCCCTAGCTGTGTGAAACCAAATATTTGTCGTGTGTAACCAGACCACCCCTAGCTGTGTGAAACCAAATATTTGTCGTGTGTAACCAGACCATCCCTAGCTGTGTGAAACCAAATATTTGTCGTGTGTAACCAGACCATCCCTAGCTGTGTGAAACCAAATATTTGTCGTGTGTAACCAGACCATCCCTAGCTGTGTGAAACCAAATATTTGTCGTGTGTAACCAGACCATCCCTAGCTGTGTGAAACCAAATATTTGTCGTGTGTAACCAGACCATCCCTAGCTGTGTGAAACCAAATATTTGTCGTGTGTAACCAGACCATCCCTAGCTGTGTGTCGTGTGTAACCAGACCATCCCTAGCTGTGTGAAACCAAATATTTGTCGTGTGTAACCAGACCATCCCTAGCTGTGTGTCGTGTGTAACCAGACCATCCCTAGCTGTGTGAAACCAAATATTTGTCGTGTGTAACCAGACCATCCCTAGCTGTGTGAAACCAAATATTTGTCGTGTGTAACCAAACCATCCCTAGCTGTGTGAAACCAAATATTTGTCGTGTGTAACCAGATCCCTAGCTGTGTGAAACCAAATATTTGTCGTGTGTAACCAGACCATCCCTAGCTGTGTGAAACCAAATATGTGTCGTGTGTTAACAGACCATCCCTAGCTGTGTGAAACCAAATATTTGTCGTGTGTAACCAGACCATCCCTAGCTGTGTGAAACCAAATATTTGTCGTGTGTAACCAGACCATCCCTAGCTGTGTGTCGTGTGTAATCAGACCATCCCTAGCTGTGTGAAACCAAATATTTGTCGTGTGTAATCAGACCATCTCTAGCTGTGTGAAACCAAATATTTGTCGTGTGTAACCAGACCATCCCTAGCTGTGTGTCGTGTGTAATCAGACCAACCCTAGCTGTGTGAAACCAAATATTTGTCGTGTGTAACCAAACCAACCCTAGCTGTGTGAAACCAAATATTTGTCGTGTGTAACCAGACCATCCCTAACTGTGTGTCGTGTGTAACCAGACCATCCCTAGCTGTGTGAAACCAAATATTTGTCGTGTGTAACCAGACCATCCCTAGCTGTGTGAAACCAAATATTTGTCGTGTGTAACCAGACCATCCCTAGCTGTGTGTCGTGTGTAATCAGACCATCCCTAGCTGTGTGAAACCAAATATTTGTCGTGTGTAATCAGACCATCCCTAGCTGTGTGAAACCAAATATTTGTCGTGTGTAACCAGACCATCCCTAGCTGTGTGAAACCAAATATTTGTCGTGTGTAACCAGACCATCCCTAGCTGTGTGAAACCAAATATTTGTCGTGTGTAACCAGACCATCCCTAGCTGTGTGAAACCAAATATTTGTCGTGTGTAACCAGACCATCCCTAGCTGTGTGAAACCAAATATTTGTCGTGTGTAACCAGACCATCCCTAGCTGTGTGTCGTGTGTAACCAGACCATCCCTAGCTGTGTGTCGTGTGTAACCAGACCATCCCTAGCTGTGTGAAACCAAATATTTGTCGTGTGTAACCAGACCATCCCTAGCTGTGTGAAACCAAATATTTGTCGTGTGTAACCAAACCATCCCTAGCTGTGTGAAACCAAATATTTGTCGTGTGTAACCAGATCCCTAGCTGTGTGAAACCAAATATTTGTCGTGTGTAACCAGACCATCCCTAGCTGTGTGAAACCAAATATGTGTCGTGTGTTAACAGACCATCCCTAGCTGTGTGAAACCAAATATTTGTCGTGTGTAACCAGACCATCCCTAGCTGTGTGAAACCAAATATTTGTCGTGTGTAACCAGACCATCCCTAACTGTGTGTCGTGTGTAACCAGACCATCCCTAGCTGTGTGAAACCAAATATTTGTCGTGTGTAAACAGACCATCCCTAGCTGTGTGAAACCAAATATTTGTCGTGTGTAACCAGACCATCCCTAGCTGTGTGAAACCAAATATTTGTCGTGTGTAACTAGACCATCCCTAGCTGTGTGAAACCAAATATTTGTCGTTTGTAACCAGACCATCCCTAGCTGTGTGAAACCAAATATTTGTCGTGTGTAACCAGACCATCCCTAGCTGTGTGTCGTGTGTAATCAGACCAACCCTAGCTGTGTGAAACCAAATATTTGTCGTGTGTAACCAAACCAACCCTAGCTGTGTGAAACCAAATATTTGTCGTGTGTAACCAGACCATCCCTAACTGTGTGTCGTGTGTAACCAGACCATCCCTAGCTGTGTGAAACCAAATATTTGTCGTGTGTAACCAGACCATCCCTAGCTGTGTGAAACCAAATATTTGTCGTGTGTAACCAGACCATCCCTAGCTGTGTGTCGTGTGTAATCAGACCATCCCTAGCTGTGTGAAACCAAATATTTGTCGTGTGTAATCAGACCATCCCTAGCTGTGTGAAACCAAATATTTGTCGTGTGTAACCAGACCATCCCTAGCTGTGTGTCGTGTGTAATCAGACCAACCCTAGCTGTGTGAAACCAAATATTTGTCGTGTGTAACCAAACCAACCCTAGCTGTGTGAAACCAAATATTTGTCGTGTGTAACCAGACCATCCCTAACTGTGTGTCGTGTGTAACCAGACCATCCCTAGCTGTGTGAAACCAAATATTTGTCGTGTGTAACCAGACCATCCCTAGCTGTGTGAAACCAAATATTTGTCGTGTGTAACCAGACCATCCCTAGCTGTGTGTCGTGTGTAATCAGACCATCCCTAGCTGTGTGAAACCAAATATTTGTCGTGTGTAATCAGACCATCCCTAGCTGTGTGAAACCAAATATTTGTCGTGTGTAATCAGACCATCCCTAGCTGTGTGAAACCAAATATTTGTCGTGTGTAACCAGACCATCCCTAGCTGTGTGTCGTGTGTAATCAGACCATCCCTAGCTGTGTGAAACCAAATATTTGTCGTGTGTAACCAGACCATCCCTAGCTGTGTGAAACCAAATATTTGTCGTGTGTAACCAGACCATCCCTAGCTGTGTGAAACCAAATATTTGTCGTGTGTAACCAGACCATCCCTAGCTGTGTGAAACCAAATATTTGTCGTGTGTAACCAGACCATCCCTAGCTGTGTGTCGTGTGTAACCAGACTGCCCCCATTTGTCCAAGATGACCGCTGGAACTTGGCACCGCCTTGAGCCAGCGATGCCAGCCCTGCGGCTCACCGTGTCGCTCCTGGGCTGCGTGATGTTGGCCCCCCAGATGGCCCTGGGCTCAGACATCGTGCCCGGACTGCCCAAGGTCAAATGGGCCAAGCCTGGCGACCTGAACATCGGCTGTCTCTTCGCCGTCACTTACTTCAACGAGGATAGGAAAGTGTACACGCTGCACCCGTTCAATAGTGTTGGCTTGGTAGAGACCGTCGATCACATTTTCAACATTATAAACAAGGTAAGATTGTCAACACTACACCCCCACCCCCCACACTGGTCCTACCCAGGTGGGTTGAACCTAACCTTTAGTTTACCCATCCCATGTTCAATTTTTTTTTTACAGAAAAAAAAAATAAAGCTTCACCTACTCTGGTTTTAATTTGTGGAACAATCTTCCTAATAAAATAAAACAATCTATGCGTGAAAATATATACAAAACGATACGAAAACAATTACTTTATGACCTCCTAATCTGACTCATTGCAACATTTCTCATTCAACTTTTGTATTCTCATTCAATCGCACGGTGTATTATAACTATATAATATTATTTCTTTATTACAATTTGAACATGCTGTGTTTCTTCTGTCTTAACTACTTAATTGATTTTTTTATTTAAAGATAATTATTTAAAAAAAAACGCTCAATGTAAAAGGGCCTCTTTGATGAAATGATTCTTCCAAGCGTAGTTAAATGATTGTTCTTACCCTAGCCAAATGACTGTTCTTACCCTAGTCAAATGATTGTTATTACCCTAGCCAAATGATTGTTCTTAACCTAGTCAAAGGATTGTTCTTACCATAGCCAAATGACTGTTCTTACCCTAGTCAAATGATTGTTATTACCCTAGCCAAATGATTGTTCTTAACCTAGTCAAATGATTGTTCTTAACCTAGTAAAATGATTGTTCTTAACCTAGTCAAATGATTGTTCTTAACCTAGTCAAATGATTGTTCTTAACCTAGTCAAATGATTGTTCTTAACCTAGTCAAATGATTGTTCTTAACCTAGCCAAATGATTGTTCTTATCCTAGACAAATGATTGTTCTTAACCTAGCCCAATGATTGTTCTTAACCTAGTCAAATGATTGTTCTTAACCTAGCCAAATGATTGTTCTTACCCTAGCCAAATGGTTGTTCTACCCTAGCCAAATGATTGTTCTTACCCTAGCCAAATGGTTGTTCTACCCTAGCCAAATGGTTGTTCTTAACCTAGTCAAATGGTTGTTCTACCCTAGCCAAATGATTGTTCTTACCCTAGCCAAATGATTGTTCTTACCCTTACCCAAGTCAAATGATTGTTATTACCCTAGTTAAATGATTGTTCTTACCCTAGTCAAATGATTGTTATTACCCTAGTCAAATGATTGTTATTACCCTAGCCAAATGGTTGTTCTTACTCTAGCACTAGAGGTCGGCGTGGTCGAGTCGGTAAAGCTCATGGTTGCTAAACCGAAAAGTCTCGAGTTCGAACCCTCGGGCAGACGAGGCTCGTTAGCTGGGGACAGCTCCTCTTCTAGGAAAGACAAATCCAAAATCAAACAACTGCTGCCTTGTAGTTTGTTCTTGGTTGGACAAAGGCTATGGAAGCAAATCCAAAAAGAAAAGCAGGCTGACATAGCCTCAATGGCGCATTAACAGTTGACACGTATATTTAATTGTATTGGAGGCGTGGTCGAGTCGGCAAAATTTAATGGTTGATAAATTCGGAACAAAAAGTATCGAGTTCTAACCTCCTTGAAGATGAGGCTCGATCCCTTTCAGCACTAAAAATTAAGAACAAAGAAGAAGAAGAAGACCCTAGCCAAATGATAGTTCTTAACTTAGACAAACGATTGTTTTTAACTTAGCCAACTTAGGGTGAAACACTGTGGGTTTAGCGTTAGATTAGCTGGTGGCTACAGTTGAATACACAACACGGGTTTAGCCTTAGATTAGCTTTTGGCTACAGTTGAATACACAACACTGGTTTAGCCTTAGATTAGCTTGTGGCTACAGTTGAATACACAACACGGGTTTAGCCTTAGATTAGCTGGTGGCTACAGTTGAATACACAACACGGGTTTAGCCTTAGATTAGCTTGTGGCTACAGTTGAATACACAACACGGGTTTAGCCTTAGATTAGCTGGTGGATACAGTTGAATACACAACACGGGTTTAGCCTTAGATTAGCTTGTGGCTACAGTTGAATACACAACACGGGTTTAGCCTTAGATTAGCTTGTGGATACAGTTGAATACACAACACGGGTTTAGCCTTAGATTAGCTTTTGGCTACAGTTGAATACACAACACTGGTTTAGCCTTAGATTAGCTTGTGGCTACAGTTGAATACACAACACGGGTTTAGCCTTAGATAAGCTGGTGGCTACAGTTGAATACACAACACGGGTTTAGCCTTAGATTAGCTTGTGGCTACAGTTGAATACACAACACGGGTTTAGCCTTAGATTAGCTGGTGGCTACAGTTGAATACACAACACGGGTTTAGCCTTAGATTAGCTTGTGGCTACAGTTGAATACACAACACGGGTTTAGCCTTAGATTAGCTTGTGGATACAGTTGAATACACAACACGGGTTTAGCCTTAGATTAGCTTGTGGCTACAGTTGAATACACAACACGGGTTTAGCCTTAGATTAGCTTGTGGATACAGTTGAATACACAACACTGGTTTAGCCTTAGATAAGCTTGTGGCTACAGTTGAATACACAACACGGGTTTAGCCTTAGATTAGCTGGTGGCTACAGTTGAATACACAACACGGGTTTAGCCTTAGATTAGCTTGTGGCTACAGTTGAATACACAACACGGGTTTAGCCTTAGATTAGCTGGTGGCTACAGTTGAATAAACGCCTGAATGTTTTGTTGTCTCTGATGGACAGGAGCAGAAGATACTGCCAGGCATTAAGTTAGGGTTCGTCATCCTGGACACTCGACTAGACCCCTCCATTTCTGTGGGGCAGAGTCTCAGCTTTCTGAGGAAATATGGTGAGTTTTTGTGTGGAGGGAATATGGTGAGTGAGTTTTTGAGTGGAGGGAATATGGTGAGTTTTTGTGTGGAGGGAATGTGGTGAGTTTTTGTGTGGAGGGAATATGGTGAGTTTTTGTGTGGAGGGAATATGGTGAGTTTTTGTGTGGAGGGAATATGGTGAGTTTTTGAGTGGAGGAAATATGGTGAGTTTTTGAGTGGAGGAAATATGGTGAGTGAGTTTTTGAGTGGAGGAAATATGGTGAGTTTTTGAGTGGAGGGAATATGCTGAGTGAGTTTTTGAGTGGAGGAAATATGGTGAGTTTTTGAGTGGAGGGAATATGGTGAGTTTTTGAGTGGAGGAAATATGGTGAGTTTTTGAGTGGAGGGAATATGCTGAGTGAGTTTTTGAGTGGAGGAAATATGGAGAGTTTTTGAGTGGAGGGAATATGGTGAGTTTTTGAGTGGAGGAAATATGGTGAGTTTTTGAGTGGAGGGAATGTGGTGAGTTTTTGAGTGGAGGAAATATGGTGAGTTTTTGAGTGGAGGGAATATGGTGAGTTTTTGAGTGGAGGAAATATGGTGAGTTTTTGAGTGGAGGGAATATGCTGAGTGAGTTTTTGAGTGGAAGAAAAAATGGAGAGTTTTTGAGTGGAGGGAATATGGTGAGTTTTTGAGTGGAGGAAATATGGTGAGTTTTTGAGTGGAGGGAATGTGGTGAGTTTTTGAGTGGAGGAAATATGGTGAGTTTTTGAGTGGAGGGAATATGCTGAGTGAGTTTTTGAGTGGAGGAAATATGGTGAGTTTTTGAGTGGAGGGAATATGGTGAGTTTTTGAGTGGAGGAAATATGGTGAGTTTTTGAGTGGAGGGAATGTGGTGAGTTTTTGAGTGGAGGAAATATGGTGAGTTTTTGAGTGGAGGGAATATGCTGAGTGAGTTTTTGAGTGGAGGAAATATGGTGAGTTTTTGAGTGGAGGGAATATGGTGAGTTTTTGAGTGGAGGAAATATGGTGAGTTTTTGAGTGGAGGAAATATGGTGAGTTTTTGGGTGGAGGAAATATGGTGAGTTTTTGAGTGGAGGGAATGTGGTGAGTTTTTGAGTGGAGGAAATATGGTGAGTTTTTGAGTGGAGGGAATATGGTGAGTTTTTGAGTGGAGGAAATATGGTGAGTTTTTGAGTGGAGGGAATATGCTGAGTGAGTTTTTGAGTGGAGGAAATATGGAGAGTTTTTGAGTGGAGGGAATATGGTGAGTTTTTGAGTGGAGGAAATATGGTGAGTTTTTGAGTGGAGGGAATGTGGTGAGTTTTTGAGTGGAGGAAATATGGTGAGTTTTTGAGTGGAGGGAATATGCTGAGTGAGTTTTTGAGTGGAGGAAATATGGTGAGTTTTTGAGTGGAGGGAATATGGTGAGTTTTTGAGTGGAGGAAATATGGTGAGTTTTTGAGTGGAGGGAATGTGGTGAGTTTTTGAGTGGAGGAAATATGGTGAGTTTTTGAGTGGAGGGAATATGCTGAGTGAGTTTTTGAGTGGAGGAAATATGGTGAGTTTTTGAGTGGAGGAAATATGGTGAGTTTTTGAGTGGAGGGAATATGCTGAGTGAGTTTTTGAGTGGAGGAAATATGGTGAGTTTTTGAGTGGAGGGAATATGGTGAGTTTTTGAGTGGAGGAAATATGGTGAGTTTTTGAGTGGAGGGAATATGCTGAGTGAGTTTTTGAGTGGAGGAAATATGGTGAGTTTTTGAGTGGAGGGAATATGGTGAGTTTTTGAGTGGAGGAAATATGGTGAGTTTTTGAGTGGAGGGAATATGCTGAGTGAGTTTTTGAGTGGAGGAAATATGGAGAGTTTTTGAGTGGAGGGAATATGGTGAGTTTTTGAGTGGAGGAAATATGGTGAGTTTTTGAGTGGAGGTAATGTGGTGAGTTTTTGAGTGGAGGAAATATGGTGAGTTTTTGAGTGGAGGAAATATGGTGAGTTTTTGAGTGGAGGGAATGTGGTGAGTTTTTGAGTGGAGGGAATATGGTGAGTTTTTGAGTGGAGGAAATATGGTGAGTTTTTGAGTGGAGGGAATATGGTGAGTTTTTGAGTGGAGGAAATATGGTGAGTTTTTGAGTGGAGGGAATATGGTGAGTTTTTGAGTGGAGGAAATATGGTGAGTTTTTGAGTGGAGGAAATATGGTGAGTTTTTGAGTGGAGGAAATATGGTGAGTTTTTGAGTGGAGGAAATATGGTGAGTTTTTGAGTGGAGGAAATATGGTGAGTTTTTGAGTGGAGGAAATATGGTGAGTTTTTGAGTGGAGGAAATATGGTGAGTTTTTGAGTGGAGGGAATGTGGTGAGTTTTTGAGTGGAGGGAATATGGTGAGTTTTTGAGTGGAGGGAATGTGGTGAGTTTTTGAGTGGAGGGAATATGGTGAGTTTTTGAGTGGAGGAAATATGGTGCGTGAGTTTTTGAGTGGAGGGAATATGGTGCGTTTTTGAGTGGAGGAAATATGGTGAGTGAGTTTTTGAGTGGAGGGAATATGGTGCGTGAGTTTTTGAGTGGAGGGAATATGGTGCGTGAGTTTTTGAGTGGAGGGAATATGGTGAGTGAGTTTTTGAAAGGAAGGAATATGGTGCGTGAGTTTTTGAGTGGAGGGAATATGGTGCGTGAGTTTTTGACTGGAGGGAAAACGGTGAGTGAGTTTTTGAAAGGAAGGAATATGGTGCTAGAGTTTTTGAGTGGAGGGAATATGGTGAGTGAGTTTTTGAGTGGAGGGAATATGTTGCGTGATTTTTTGAGTGAAGGGAATATGGTGAATGAGTTTTTGAGTGGAGGGAATATGGTGAATGAGTTTTTGAGTGGAGGAAATATGCTGAGGTTGACTAGAGTGAGTGGTTGAGTGCTAGATTACATACTTTTTTAGCTGGTAATATCGAGTTTGTTAGTGTAGGCATGTTCCCCACTTAGTGTAGTAAATGTGTTTTCTTCTATTGCAAGTGTAGGCATGTTCCCCAGTCTAAATGTGTGTCCTACTAAAGGAAGAGTAGGCATGTTCGGCTCCCGGTCAAAAACCCCCTGGACATAAACCCCCCGCGACATAAACCCCCCTGGACAAAAACCCCCGCGATATAAACCCCCTGGACAAAAACCCCCCGCGATCTAAACCCCCTGGACAAAAACCCCCCAATTGAGGTTTACATAAGGAAAACCAAAGATGATGAGAAACAAAATTAATATGAAAATACAAAACAAACATTAGGAAAAAACTTTTATTTTTATTTTAACTTTAAAAAGACAGATTGTGAGCGATGCCTCGCAAATACTCAATAATGGTGGAATCATTAAAATTTTTAACAACAGTTAAAATTCGAGAGCTGCTATCAATATATTTTTTTTTCTGTTTTGATAAACAGTGACCTGAATTAATCTGTGTACAATAAACCTCTTGGAGAGATTGTTCCTTTTTAATAAAGTCAATAAATTTCCAAATATTTGGGTGGCAACATCCCATATGCGACTGAAAACTTCTGGGCCAGCCTTCAACTGAGTTGTTTGTTTTTGGCATATGGTCTTCTGCACGTGTGTGCATGTTCCACATATTAAATGGAAACATAGGTTGTCTTCGACCTCGACGTTGTGGTCTGACAATATAGTAGTCCTCAAAGTAGTCTGCAATCGGCATTCCTTCTTGGGGGAAAATTTCCAATAATTTTTCAAAGGCATAACTCATGTGTTCGATGGGAACAAAAGCCAACGCAGGTAGCATTCTGAGCTTGAGAGCAAATTCACTATCAACTTGGTAGAGTTGTTGAAGGCCAGAGTCCTGAATTTTTCTGTATCTATTTTGGCTAAGATGGAAGAAACATCCTTTGACCTCACAATCTGGAAATACCCTTTCAACACTTTTTATCACAGACATTTCAAAGTCAATCATAATAGAAATTGGTTGCAGTTAATTTTTCTTTATATAAACCTCAGTCCGGGGGTTATTATCCGGGGGGTTTATATCGCGGGGGTTTTTTGTCCAGGGGGTTTATGTCGCGGGGGGTTTTTGTACAGGGGGTATATGTCACGGGGGTTTTTGTACAGGGGGTTTATGTCGCGGGGGGTTTTTGTCCATGGGGTTTATGTCGCGGGGGGTTTTTGTCCAGGGGGTTTATGTCGCGGGGGGTTTTTGTCCAGGTGGTTTATGTCGCGGGGGGTTTTTGTCCAGGGGGTTTATGTCGCGGGGGGTTTTTGTACAGGGGGTTTTCGACCGGCATGTTCCCTAGTCTAATTGTGTGTTCTTCTAAAGGAATGTAGGCATGTTCCCCAGTCTAATTGTGTGTCCTACTAAAGGAAGTGTAGGCATGTTCCCCAGTCTAATTGTGTGTTCTTCTAAAGGAAGTGTACGCATGTTCCCCAGTCTAAATGTGTCCTACTAAAGGAAGTGTAGGCATGTCCCCCAGTCTAATTGTGGGTCCTAATAAAGGAAGTGTAGGCATGTTCCCCAGTCTAATTGTGTGTCCTACTAAAGAAATGTAGGCATGTTCCCCAGTCTAAATGTGTGTCCTACTAAAGGAAGTGTAGGCATGTTCCCTTGTCTAAATGTGTGTCCTACTAAAGAAAGTGTAAGCATGTTCCCCAGTCTAAATGTTGTCCTACTAAAGGAAGTGTAGGCATGTTCCCTTGTCTAAATGTGTGTCCTACTAAAGAAAGTGTAAGCATGTTCCCCAGTCTAAATGTTGTCCTACTAAAGAAAGTGTAGGCATGTTCCCCAGTCTAAATGTGTGTCCTACTAAAGGAAGTGTAGGCATGTTCCCCAGTCTAAATGTGTGTCCTACTAAAGGAAGTGTAGGCATGTCCCCCAGTCTAATTGTGTGTCCTACTAAAGGAAGTGTAGGCATGTCCCCCAGTCTAATTGTGTGTCCTACTAAAGGAAGTGTAGGCATGTTCCCCAGTCTAATTGTGGGTCCTAATAAAGGAAGTGTAGGCATGTTCCCCAGTCTAATTGTGTGTCCTACTACAGGAAGTGTAGGCATGTTCCCCAGTCTAAATGTATGTCCTACTACAGGAAGTGTAGGCATGTTCCCCAGTCTAATTGTGTGTCCTACTAAAGGAAGTGTAGGCATGTTCCCCAGTCTAATTGTGGGTCCTAATAAAGGAAGTGTAGGCATGTTCCCCAGTCTAAATGTATGTCCTACTACAGGAAGTGTAGGCATGTTCCCCAGTCTAAATGTGTGTCCTACTACAGGAAGTGTAGGCATGTTCCCCAGTCTAATTGTGTGTCCTACTACAGGAATTGTAGGCATCTTCCCCAGTCTAATTGTATGTTCTTCTAAAGGAAGTGTAGGCATGTTCCCCAGTCTAATTGTGTGTTCTTCTAAAGGAAGTGTGAGGCTTTTGGAGTTGTCAGTATATACATGTTGAGGGTCTATTTTTGAGGTTTAGATTTGTCGTAATGAAAGTGTGGGAAGATGTGTGGTCTATTTGTGAGGTGTTATAGTCATCATTATGTAAGCTTGGAGAGTTGTATCGTCCATTTGTGAGGTTTTGGTAGATCTTGCGATGACGAAGTGCCAGTAAATACTCTCTTTGGTTTACCAGAAGGCAACACGACTGACCCACAGCAGAACAAGGTCATTGGAGTGGTGGGGACGGACACGAGTTTGACGAGCATACCCTCCTCCACGCTACTGGCCACCATGAACATCCCGATGGTCAGCTTTCTGGCGTCCGCGGATATTCTCAGTGACATGGTAAGCTGTCCGGGTTGTTGCCCCTTAGCCGTACAACTATCGCATCAAACATCGCAGGTAACCAGAGGCGTAGCGAGGGTGCGGACCGCACCGGGTGACACCATTTAGGGGGGTGACACCAAGGCAAAAAAAAAGTAAAAAATATAGAGAAAAACTTGAGGGGGGTGCAAATCGAAAGTTTGAGGGAGGGGGGTGGTGCTAATCGAAGATTTAGGGGATGGGGGTGCAATTCGAAGGTTTGAGGGGGGGGGGGTGCAACTCGAAACTTTTAAAGTTTGTCCCCCGGGAAGGGTCGCTATGCCTCTGGGGGGTGACACCATTCATTGTCGCACCGGGTGACACCCGACCTCGCTACGCCACTGCAGGTAACATGCTGTGCGCCTGCTGTTTATGGTGACCTTGACACCTACCGGTAACTTTGACCCTATGTACGATTACTCCCAGCAACATACCCGACCTCCGGGTGTACATACCCGACCCCCGGGTGTACATACCCGACCCCGGGTGTACATACCCGACCCCCGGATGTACATACCCGACCCCCGGGTGTACATACCCGACCCCCGGGTGTACATACCCGACCCCCGGGTGTACATACCCGACCCCCGGGTGTACATACCCGACCCCCGGGTGTACATACCCGACCCTCGGGTGTACATACCCGACCCCCGGGTGTCTAGATTGAGCCAATATTCAAAACTAGGGCTTGTCTTAGGTACCCACTTAGATTTGCGTTTAGATTAAGTTTTCAGAAAACATGGTTAAGGACTCAACAATTGATGGGTCTCAAACTGTGATTAAAACCATTTTTGAATTTATATTTGGTCGCATTTTGTATTTATATTTGGTCACAGTTTATTTATATTTGGTCACATTGTATAATAATATTTGGTCACACACATTCTAGTTCAGACTCTTCTTCTTCTTTCTTCTTCTTCGTTCTTAAATTTTAGTGTTGGAAGGGATCGAGCCTTATCTGCCAGAGGGTTTGAACTCGAGACTTTTTCGAATTTATCAACCATGAGCGTTTGTCCAGCTGTAGATATGTCCAGCTGTATAGATGACTAGCTGTACAGATGTCCAGCTGTACAGATGTCCAGCTGTATACATGTCCAGCTGTATACATGTCCAGCTGTATACATGATTAGCTGTATACATGTCCAGCTGTATACATGTCCAGCTGTATACATGATTAGCTGTATACATGTCCAGCTGTATACATGTCCAGCTGTACAGATGTCCAGCTGTATGCATGTCCAGCTGTATACATGTCCAGCTGTACAGATGTCCAGCTGTATGCATGTCCAGCTGTATACATGTCCAGCTGTATACATGTCCAGCTGTATACATGTCCAGCTGTATACATGTCCAGCTGTATACATGTCCAGCTGTATACATGTCCAGCTGTATACATGTCCAGCTGTATAAATGTCCAGCTGTATACATGTCCAGCTGTATACATGTCCAGCTGTATACATGTCCACTCTATCCCTGTTCCTGTCATCTCGGCATATCTCACTGACCACGATAGATTGAATGTCATCTCGGCATATCTCACTGACCACGATAGATTGAATGTCATCTCGGCATATCTCATTGACCACGATAGATTGAATGTCATCTCGGCATATCTCACTGACCACGATAGATTGAATGTCATCTCGGCATATCTCACTGACCACGATAGATTGAATGTCATCTCAGCATTTCTCACTGACCACGATAGATTGAAAGTCATCTCGGCATATCTCACTGACCACGATAGATTGAACTGACTCTCTAAGTGTAACGAGATCCCACGACATAGATCCCTTCCAACCTTCTCTGACCACTGCAAAAGTCACGTGATACACACAGGGATTCGTAGATCCCTCCCACAGTTATTTGACCCCTCCCACAATTATTTGACCCCTCCCACAGTTATTTGACCCCTCCCACAGTTATTTGACCCCTCCCACAGTTATTTGACCCCTCCCACAGTTATTTGACCCCTCCCACAGTTATTTGACCCCTCCCACAGTTATTTGACCCCTCCCACAGTTATTTGACCCCTCCCACAGTTATTTGACACCTCCCACAGTTATTTGACCCCTCCCACAGTTATTTGACCCCTCCCACAGTTATTTGACCCCTCCCACAGTTATTTGACCCCTCCCACAGTTATTTGACACCTCCCACAGTTATTTGACCCCTCCCACAGTTATTTGACCCCTCCCACAGTTATTTGACCCCTCCCACAGTTATTTGACCCCTCCCACAGTTATTTGACCCCTCCCACAGTTATTTGACCCCTCCCACAGTTATTTGACCCCTCCCACAGTTATTTGACCCCTCCCACAGTTATTTGACCCCTCCCACAGTTATTTGACCCCTCCCACAGTTATTTGACCCCTCCCACAGTTATTTGATCCCTCCCACAGTTATTTGACCCCTCCCACAGTTATTTGACCCCTCCCACAGTTATTTGACCCCTCCCACAGTTATTTGACCCCTCCCACAGTTATTTGACCCCTCCCACAGTTATTTGACCCCTCCCACAGTTATTTGACCCCTCCCACAGTTATTTGACCCCTCCCACAGTTATTTGACCCCTCCCACAGTTATTTGACCCCTCCCACAGTTATTTGACCCCTGGAAACGAAAATTTTTACCTCCCTCCCTTTTCCCTCTATACATCGGCACAAACCCTCTATTCCCAGTTACCCAGCTTTGTTCGGTATTTTAAACTTTCTCGTTCTTTCAACAGAACAAATTTCCAGCATTCTTTAGAGTGATCGCCCCTCTCAGGTATCAGCTCGCAGGGATCATCAAGCTGCTGAAAATCAAGAACTGGCTTTATTTTTCCGTAATGTATCAGGCGGGAACCTACGGCGATGGCGCCTATAGAGCGCTCAGGCTCCGCGCGGAGAAGGAACGTATGTGCATCGCCATGACCATCAAACTGATGGACTCGACCAAGTACGAACAGGTGTTGAACCGGCTGAAGAAGCAAGTTAAGTTATCGCGGATTGTCGTGGTGCTGGTGTCTGACATTGTGTTTCCACGGCTATTTGCAGCCGCCAAGGCAACCGGGACGGAGAAAGATTTTTTGTGGATAGGAACGGACACGTTGACAGTCAATATGTATGGCGACGGCTTCATTCCCGGCTCCATCGCCGTGGCCTACGACACGCATCCCATCCCCGGGTTCTTGGAAATTGTGAGGACGAGTTTAAAAACGAGCGAAAATCCTTGGCTTCCTTATCAAAGCGAAGAAGAAAAGAAACTGAATCATAAGGAATTATGCAAAATGTTACTGCCGTCTTGTCTGGTTTACGACGCCGTGTTGGTGCTTGCGCATGCTCTGTCAATGCTGCTGCAGGAGAAATGTCCCACAGCTAAAGGCAAGCAGGCCTCGGAATGTTTCGACAGGCATCAGCACGAGTTCATCAGCTACATCTGGAAGGTCTCTTTCAAGGGACTCTCCGGCAATATTGTCTTTAACAAGGAAGGCGACGTCATCGGCAACGTGAAAGTCATCCAGTCTAATTTGGTCCCGAACAACGGAGAAATTACGCCCAGCTTTATCGGGCTGTACGACGTCGGCACGGAGAAGTTAACCCTGTCTGAGAACATCACCTGGGAGCATTTCAGCTTCCCCGAGGCCCACACGCAAGCGGATTACTTCTGCATGCCGAAGTGCAAGCCGGGGGAGTTCAGGGTGCAGTATATGAACTGCTGCTGGCGGTGTCGCGTGTGCCAGGAGTACATGAAGGTCTCAGCAGACGGCACCCACTGCGTCAAGTGCCCGCTCCTCCACTGGCCCCAGCACGACGTCTGCGTGCCCATCACGCCGGATCACATGACGTGGAACTCGCTCATCGCCATTGTCCTGCTCATCCTCTCCATGACAGGGGTCATCCTAGCCGTGGTCCTGCTGGTCATTTACGTCGTGTACAGGGGGGAGTTCATCATCAAGGCCTCGAGCATTGAACTATCAATCATCCAGCTCATCTCCATCATGTCAGGCTACCTGGGCGTGCCCATCCTCTTGTTGCGGCCCACCCATTGGTCGTGTGTGCTAGGGATCTGCTTCTTCACGTTCAGCTTCAACTCACTCTACGTCGCCATGCTGATTAAATCCGTTCGAGTCTATCGGATTTTCAAGATGTCCAAGAAACAAATGAAACTGTCCTACACAGGCTCTCTCTTCCAGGTGGCTTTCTTCTCCATCTTCCTCGTCTTTCAGGTGAGAGTCGGGCTCAGCAATTAGCTTTATATTCAATGCGGTTATACACAATTTTGTTGAAAAACGTTTAACTACACACACAATTTTAAAAATAAATCAAAATAATATGTAATTAAATAACAGCACAATATTCAGAAGTTCGATTAAAACAGTGGTTCTTAACCAGAGTACAGTCCTCTACTTGTGATTATTGAATCCGATAAGTGAACAATATTTGTAATGATAAAAAATTTTATTTTAGTGTTGACTTAGCAATATTGTAAAGTTTATTATTCATTTAATTATAATAAGTCTTAAGTAAGGGGTAAGAGTTTTGGCCTTTTTTTATCGGAAAAAAATTCACCTCGCTTTGACATTTCTTGTATTTCAGGTGGTGATCTACTTCACCTTGATCCTTGTATTTCAGGTGGTGATCTACTTCACCTTGATCTGGTACTTCTTGTATTTCAGGTGGTGATCTACTTCACCTTGATCTGGTACTTCTTGTATTTCAGGTGGTGATCTACTTCACCTTGATCTGGTACTTCTTGTATTTCAGGTGGTGATCTACTTCACCTTGATCTGGTACTTCTTGTATTTCAGGTGGTGATCTACTTCACCTTGATCTGGTACTTCTTGTATTTCAGGTGGTGATCTACTTCACCTTGATTTGGTACTTCTTGTATTTCAGGTGGTGATCTACTTCACCTTGATCTGGTACTTCTTGTATTTCAGGTGGTGATCTACTTCACCTTGATCTGGTACTTCTTGTATTTCAGGTGGTGATCTACTTCACCTTGATCTGGTACTTCTTGTATTTCAGGTGGTGATCTACTTCACCTTGATCTGGTACTTCTTGTATTTCAGGTGGTGATCTACTTCACCTTGATCTGGTACTTCTTGTATTTCAGGTGGTGATCTACTTCACCTTGATCTGGTACTTCTTGTATTTCAGGTGGTGATCTACTTCACCTTGATCTGGTACTTCTTGTATTTCAGGTGGTGATCTACTTCACCTTGATCTATTACTTCCCCATCGACGTCATCGTCAACCAGCCGGAAGAGAACCTCAAGTACACGGAGGAGGTCTGCGACATCTCTGACATCACGCTCATCCCCTTCTTCATCTTCGACGTGGTCCTGCTCTGCTTCTGCTCCGTGTTCGCCTTCAAGACTCAGAGCCTGCCCAGCACGTTCAAGGAGAGCCGTCACGTGTCCATGTGCGTCATCACCACCATGATCATGTGGGTGGCCTTCATGCCGGCCTACTTCACCTCCACCAAGCGGCTGCTCAAGTTCTACTACATCATTCTGGCCATCCTCATCAACCACACCACAGCCCTGTGTTTCCTGTTCCTGCCCCGGATGTACGCCCTGTGGTACATGGCCGGCAAGCGGATGGACAGGAACAAGGTGTTTGGCTCGCTCGGGGAGACCATCTCTACCAACAAGTGATCGATGGAGATTTTATCTCTCTAAGGGAGAGCATCTCTGTCAAACTTTGACCGATGGAGATTTTGTCTCTCTAAGAGAGAGCATCTCTGTCAACCATTGACCGATGGAGATTTTGTCTCTCTAAGGGAGAGCATCTCTGTCAACTTTTGACCGATGGAGATTTTGTCTCTCTAAGAGGGAGCATCTCTGTCAAACTTTGACCGATGGAAATTTGGTCTCTTTAAGGGAGAGCATCTCTGTCAACCATTGACCGATGGAGATTTTGTCTCTCTAAGGGAGAGCATCTCTGTCAACCATTGACCGATGGAGATTTTGTCTCTCTAAGGGAGAGCATCTCTGTCAACCATTGACCGATGGAGATTTAGTCTCTCTAAGAGAGAGCATCTCTGTCAACTTTTGACCGATGGAGATTTTGTCTCTCTAAGAGGGAGCATCTCTGTCAAACTTTGACCGATGGAAATTTGGTCTCTTTAAGGGAGAGCATCTCTGTCAACCATTGACCGATGGAGATTTTGTCTCTCTAAGGGAGAGCATCTCTGTCAACCATTGACCGATGGAGATTTAGTCTCTCTAAGAGAGAGCATCTCTGTCAAACTTTGACCGATGGAGATTTTGTCTCTCTAAGAGGGAGCATCTCTGTCAAACTTTGACCGATGGAAATTTGGTCTCTCTAAGGGAGAGCATCTCTGTCAAACTTTGACCGATGGAGATTTTGTCTCTCTAAGGGAGAGCATCTCTGTCAACCATTGACCGATGGAGAATTTGGTATTGGGTGTACAGCTGATAACGTGAATGAGGATAGTGACGGGGGTGGTGGTGGTGGGGATGACGTCATATGTGGACAGTCGAGGTCAAACTGACATTGGTATAACAGCGTTAGACCTGTGTTTAGACAACATCTCAATGGACATCTCTAGTGAGATATATCCATTCCCAAGACTCACTCCTTACCTGATAGACCTGAGGACTAAGATTAACATGACGATTAACGCTGGATTTTTGTCAATGTCAGTTGGTGTACTGAATTGGATGAAGACTTCGATTGTGTCTCTGGCAAGTTCGAACGATCCTCATATAAAGTAGTTACTAACTATTGGACATATGACGTCGCTGTGAACTTATGACGTCACTGTGGACACATGACGTCACTATTGACGCATGACGTCATGGTGAATATATATATATATATATATATATATATATATATATATATATATATATATATATATATATATATATATATATATATATATATATATATATATATATGACGTATCTGTGGACCTATGACTTAATGATGGACCTATTGAGTAACTTTAGACACATGACGTAACTTTAGACATATGATGAAAATGTGGACCAACGTGATGTGACGCAACTGATTTTATGTCTTTAAGAACCTTTCTTTTCAAATTCGTTTGAGTATTGCATATTTTTATAATGTTCATTTCTTCGTTAAATTGTCTATCAATTGTTTTTGGTCGAAAAAATCAATTTTTTATACGTAGGGCAACAAGGTTTATTTTTTTAAACCAACATTAAACATGAAAAAATTATCAACAAAGCACAATTTTGTTCTTTAAGAAATATTATTAAAATCGAATGCTATTCGGTCTGCTTTTTGTTCTATATATTTGCATGTAAATTATTACATATGTGTTATATATATGTATGTGTGTGTGTGTGTGTCTCACCATAAATATAACATTTAAAAATAATTTAAAAATCCTAATTGATGTGACATAAAATGGTAAAATGTTTGTGTGACCTCTTGATACTAAGTAGGTAGTTTGGTACTTAAAAAAAAACGTATTTTAAATACTCTTAAGCTTTTACTACAGTTACATTTATACAAAATATATATGTACGATTCAATAAATAGCAAAAATTAGCTAAGCTCCTAAAAAAATCAACGTGAAAGACGCGCCCACCCACGACCTCCATAGATGTCAAGTTTTACATCTCCAGAGTCACATCCCCTCACAGTTTCTAAAAATAGTCACAGGTTGCGCACCATTTACTAAAATTCTTAAACGTGGAGACTAATACCTAATCGAACCGGAAACGATTGGACTTTTCGATTTGTTGAAGGCGATCATCTATGTAAATCATGATCAAAACAATTGGGTTGCATTAGGTGTTGAGGAAAAGTCTAACCTGGAGAATAGAATCTAGGTACGTTGTGATGCTACTTTAGTTAAGCTAGGAAATAGTTTCCTCTCTAGATAAATATATCCAGATCAAAATGAATGTCAATCACAAGTCACGATAAAGACAGCTAGCTCTAGTTTCTAGATCTAGATCTGTAAACATCTCGAATCTAGATAGATTTTTTTAGTCTTGATTAGTTAACTTATGTTAGGATTCTAGTTCAAGTCGTAGCCAGGGCCGGCGCTACCGATAAGGCGAACTAGGCGGTCGCCTAGGGCGCTAAATAACCTGGCGCCGGCACTAGTCGGTGCTGATTCGAAATTTTAAGAAAATTTCAGCTAAAGCTGATTTTGTTAGGTGGTTGGTATTTCTATACGTTTCTAGCCTAACCTTAAAGCTTATCTTAACCAAGACCCTAATCTCAAAGCTAATCTTAACCATGGCCTTGACCCTAACCTTTAAAGCTATTCCTAACCTTGCTATAACCTTAAAGCTTGTCTTTACCATGGCCAGGAAACTAACCTTAAACAAGTTAATAAAAAGTCTAGTGACAATTTAAGCGCAATTTCCTTATGTTAATAAGTAAATCATCCTATAAATATAAACTCCTACACGATGCTCAGTTTAAACCACACGAGCAGAGCTAGTCCCCGCCCCCTCGCGAGATCTGCGCGAGTCTGGCCAATGGCAGCGTGTGTAGACGTTACCTCTCACTAGCGACTGCCTCAGCCGGTGTGCTTGGTTTGGGTGGTAGAAATATTTGTATATTCCTAGTAATCTTAGCCAATACAAATTAGAAGAAATTAATTTTTTATGATCGAACGAAAGGATATTTTTGAAAACTTTCTTCAGCAATATTGTTCTAAATTATGGCAGGAATCGATTGGTAAATGTTTCAAGTCGGTAAGTGGTCTGGTTGCCGAGATGTGGGCAAAAAAACTGCATTTTTTCGAGGTTTTTTGGCTTTTCCGGGAAATCCAGGAAGGAATTCCGGGAATGTTTTTTGGCCTATGTTCATCCTCGGAACTTGCTTTAACATATTTGCTTTTGGAACAAGTCCTCGATATTGCTTCGTTGAGGAGGAGATACAACTTAAAGCTGCGGACACGCTGCGGACACACATCCATCCAGAAATGACGCATTATTAAACGCAATTTTTCTTTTTTTGAAATTGCGCTAAAAATAGTCCTACGTGTGGATTTAAACCAGCCCTTAAAACTAGTCCTAGCTTTGACGCTGACCTTTAAGCGTGTCCTAACCATAACCCAGATCCAGAGGCGGCGCCCGGGGACAAATTTCCGATTTGCACCCCCCCCCTCAAACTTTCGATTTGCACCCTCCCCCCCTCAAACGTCCGATTTGCAGCCCCCACCCCAAAACTTTTGATTTGCACCCTCCCCCATCAAACTTTCGATTTGCACCCCCCTCAAACTTTCGATTTCCACCACCCCCCTCTAACTTTCAATTTGTTTTTCCAACCCATTTTGGCGCCCCCTAAGATCGACGCCCGGGGACGTACGTCCCCCACGCCCCGTCCCCCCCCCCTCCCTCGCTACGCCTCTGCCCTGACCCTACCCTTAATCTCAATCTTTACTCTAATCCTACACCAGACGCGTCCAAATCCTTTATTTTGTTATAAATCACACCAGCATATAAAAACTAAAACGTAGCGTCATGTGGGCCTACATAATATTTAGTTGAAACACTACGACAACTAAGCGCTGCAGCCTGAGTTCTCTATGCTCATTTCCCTAGCCATGTCTAGACTCGTCTGGCTCCTGGCTCTCGTGGCCCACCCTGGCCAGGCCTACTACGCCCTCCCAGAGTGGAGGGAGAGCAAGTACCACCAGCCCGGCGACCTGAACATCGGCGCCATCTTCGCGCTGACGGAGCTGGAACCACACAGCTACTGCGGCAACATCACCACCAGCTACAACGCCATCTCGATGATCGAGCCTTTAGTCCACGCCATCAACAGCGTCAACGAGGTAACATGTGTCATTAATCAACTCAATTAGTGTCAATAGTTAGCTGTAATGGGTCAAAGTTTCAGCAGTTCTAAATCGAAATTGTTTTCGACGCCTAGAACTATTCGTCTAAATACTGTTGTTGTGTATGTTTTTATCCATGTGTATGTTCATATATATGCAATGCGAGTTGAGAATTTACATAACCTGTCCAGCAACAATTTTCCCGTCAATGTATCCAGCAACTGGATGACCACTTCTAACAATTTCTACTAAATCTATTTGGTTAAGCCAATGAAACTGATCAAAACTTTTCTTCTAAATCTATTCGGTAGAAGCCTTTGTACCCTTCCTCCTAAATCTATTCTATAGAAACCTTTGCAGCCTTCCCTTCTTAATCTATTCGGTAGAAACCTTTGCAGCCTTCCCTCCTAAATCTATTCGGTAAAAACCTTTGCAGCCTCCCCTCCTAAATCTTTTCAATAAGGTTACAAGAAGCTGTCCTTAGGTTTTCTACTAATTCTATTCTATTAAGCCATGCTAGAAACATAGACTTACATTACCTAAGTCCGCCACAAAAACTGATCTAGCCTCTGAATTGAATTATCTAGCAGGGGCAGCTGCTGTACAATTTGAAGCTGGGGTTTGTCGTGACAGACAGCTGCTCGAAGGAAACAGTCGCCTTGGTGAACGCAATGCGGTTCATTCCACAAATAGGTTACCAGTCTAAGAGTCCTAGCACCAACAAGACAGGCAAGCTTGAAGTCAGGCGGGATGAAGAGGAGCATGTTGGACCAGGTAAACTAAATAGTGTACTCACGACCAAACTTTTAATCATTATCATCTTTGTTCGTTTGTGTCAAAAACACATGGGGCACATGAAGTAGGACTCGACTGTTTCAACGACAGAAGCATACAAGAGGAAGATGTTGTCAACATTATGCCCAGCAACCTTTGTTTCCTAACGTGAGTTAGGTACTCATCAGAACCGGGTGGACTCAGGGGCGTTCTATTGATTTGAACAGGGATTCGAACTCGAGACTTTCGGGTTAGCAGTCTAGCTCTCTACCGCTAGGCCAGGTCGTCCTTGAACTATTTAACTGTGTATATTTTATTTGAACGGAAACGGCGTGGTCGTGTGGAAGAGCATACGAGTTATAACCCGAATGTCTCGAGTTAAACAGTCTCAATTTCGGGTCTTTAGTTAGAGTAGCACCGCACCTTGAGTCTACCCATCTCTGATGAGTGTATCAGGGAAAGCAACGTCGATTGGACATAGTGCTGACAACACAATCCCTTCATAGGCTGAATCCACAGAAAGAGGTCAGCTCTACTTCATCTCACCCAGGTTCGAAAAAGGAAATTTTTTAATTTGAACGTGAGTTACGAAAATACATGTTGATGTACTGTGGTAGAGTGAATGCGCTGATGGGTAACGTGCTATTTCACATGTTCACAAGTGGTATGTCCACATATTTTTTAGTGCTAATGTCCTCATATTTACTGGCGCTAAAATGTCGATAGCTCCACGTATATGAAAATATCAAACAAATCTCAGAACAAACTTGATCTGTAGAACATATAAAAATATCATTTAACTAATTCTCCAGCTGCTTAAAGGAACTAAGTAATGAAAGGGCCAGTAACCCACCCACTCTTTTCCGTCCAGGGGACCTAACTGTGATCAAAGATTTCCCCGTGATTGGTGTGATCGGTACTGACAACGCCAAGACTTCCGAGGCGATATCCTCTCTCTTGAACACCTTCAACATCCCAATCATCAACTTCGCTGGGTGCTTTGATGTTTTGGGCACTGAGGTCTGTGGTATAGGCTGTATGCACTCTGGTGGTAGGCTAGGGGTCAGTTGTATAGGCTGTATGCACTCTGGTGGTAGGCTAGGGGTCAGTTGTATAGGCTGTATGCACTCTGGTGTTAGTCTAGGGGTCAGTTATATAGGCTGTATGCACTCTGGTGTTAGTCTAGGGGTCAGTTATATAGGCTGTATGCTGCCTAGTGTTAGGGGTCAGTTGTATAGGCTGTATGCACTCTGATGGTAGGCTAGGGGTCAGTTGTATAGGCTGTATGCTGTCTAGTGTTAGGGGTAAGTTGGCTGTATGCACTCTGGTGTTAGTCTAGGGGTCAGTTATATAGGCTGTATGCTGCCTAGTGTTAGGGGTCAGTTGTATAGGCTGTATGCACTCTGGTGGTAGGCTAGGGGTCAGTTGTATAGGCTGTATGCTGTCTAGTTTAAGTCTAGGGGTCGGTTGAATAGGCTGTATGCTGTCTAGTGTTAGGGGTCAGTGGCATAGGCTGTATGCACTCTGGTGGTAGTCTAGGGGTCTGTTGTAAGGCTGTATGCTTTCTATTATAAGTCTAGGGGTCAGTTGTATAGGCTGTATGCTGTCTAGTGTTAGGGGTCTGTTGTACAGGCTGTATGCTTTGTAGTGTAAGTCTAGGGGTCAGTTGTACAGGCTGTTTGCTGTCTAGTGTTAGGCTAGGGGTCGGTTGTATGCTGTCTAGTGTTAGTCTATGGGTCAGTTGTAGAGGCTGTATGCTGTCTAGTTTACGTCTAGGGGTCTGTTGTATAGGCTGTATGCTGTCTGGTGTTAGTCAATTGTATCGACAAATCTAGGACGCAATATACTGGATAATGTAGATAAAGATGTTAACGATAATAGAAAGCATTGTTTATTCTAAATATAGATAATAATATAAACTAATAGAAAATGAGAGATGCAAAAATTGATGCTGTAAGTTACATGTCTAGGGAAAGAAAACGCACATTAAATACAATTTTCTTCACAATATTAATCAAAGTATTTGCAACATATTTAGGGTTTTCCAAATATTGCTATGTTGTACGATAGATTATGTCGTACTTCTTGAATTCTAACCGTTTTATGTAGGTCCCTATTAGGAATAGGAATATGTTTTATTTGAAAACACACTATCCTTTATTCAGAAAGTTGTTAAATGGGCGGTTTTAAGATTGTTGTAGTTTCGCACTTTTGTATGTTTCACAAGTTAGTATTGTAATTTAACACGCATTTACATGTCTAAAATAAACATAACTAGAAACTGTTGTAATTTCAAATATTTGTTACTGTCTAAAATAAACATAACCTAGTATTGATGTATTTTAACACATATTTAAATGTCTAAAAAAACATAACCTAGTATTGATGTAATTTAACACGTATTTAAATGTCTAAAAAAAAACCTAGTATTGATGTAATTTAACACGTATTTAAATGTCTAAAATAAACATAACCTAGTATTGATGTAATTTAACACGTATTTAAATGTCTAAAATAAACATAACCTAGTATTGATGTAATTTAACACGTATTAAAATGTCTAAAATAAACATAACCTAGTATTGATGTAATTTAACACGTATTTAAATGTCTAAAATAAACATAACATTGTATTGATGTAATTTAACACGTATTTAAATGCCTAAAATAAACATAACCTAGTATTGTCGTATTTGTACATGATTGTATCTATTTCACGGGCTAGTGAAACAGCACGTTTATTCAACACATTTTCTCTTCCTCCTAGTAGGAGTTTCCATCCTTCATGCACCTCGCCTCCACCTTCTCAGCCCAGAGCCTGGCCATGGTTCGGTTCCTTGTCTTTAGGGGCTGGAAGTATTTCTCCGTCGTCTACGAGCAGGGAATGTACGCTGAGGACGCCTTTAACGTCATCCAAAAGAGCGTCAGGGCCTACGGCCTGTGTATCTCCAACACGGCCATGATTTCAGAGAGTTCGAATATTCTACGGTTGGTCAAACACCTGACCTTCAGCCCCCAAGCCCCCAAGGTCGTGCTGGTGTTCGTGTCCAGCACCTACACCTTGAAGATCATGGACGCTGTTCGCAAGACTAAAACCGAGGGCTGGAACTTATGGATAGGGACGAGCTACTGGATCAGGTACATGTGGTCAGGCGAGCTGGTAGAGGGCTCCATGGCCGTGGCGAACGACTTCGCTGATGTCCCGGGTGTCAAAGACGCTCTGATGAAGCTGACAAAAGACAACCCGAATCCGTGGTTCCTGCCAATGCTGCGACAAAAGTTCTCCTGCAAGACGGACGACGCTTGCATCATGTCAGCGTTGGGCGCGTACGAGCACGGGTTCGCCCACTACGCCGGTGTGATCCACGACTCGGTGCAGGTGCTAGTTAAGGCTACAAACGCTTTCCTGTTCTCCCAATGCCACGAGCAGCAGCGGGTCACGCCAACTTGGGCACACGATTGCATAGAGATTAATCGTGGCCATTTTCTCGAGTATATCAAAAACGTGTCCTTTGAAGGATATTCAGGGAAAGTAGTTTTTGACAAAAACGGCGTTGTACATAAAGATCTGTATCTGTATCAAGTTATTCATGATAGGAAAACTTCAACCTATACACCGTTGAAAATCGCGGAAATCGCGGATCGTATTACCATGCTGAGGGATATATCCGACCCGCATCGTTACATGAAGGTGATCGACGATGTTCAGGACATGTGCATGCCCAGGTGCGACAGGCAGGAGTACCACCTGAAGAAGCTGGCCTGCTGCTGGAACTGCAAGGAGTGCCAGTCCAACGCGTACGTCAACGAGAACCTGACGGCCTGCGTCTCGTGTCCCAAGTTCTTCTGGCCGCGAGTCCAGAACTTCAACAACACCAGCCCGTGTATCCGGATCCTGACCGACGTCCTGCTCTGGCACCGCCCGGTCGCGGCGTTCCTCATCACCTTGTCCTTTATTGGCCTGGCGATGGTTTTGTTTATCCTGGTCGTGTACTGGGTTAACGCCGAGTCCAGCGTCATCAAATCGGCCAGCCTGGAGATTAGCACCATCCAGCTTGTGGCCATGTTCTGTGGGTATCTGTCGGTGCCGTTCCTGGTCAGCTTCCCCTCCGAGCTGGGCTGTTTCATCGGTGTGGTCATGATCCTGGTCAGCCTGACCTCCATGTACATGACCATGCTGCTCAAGGCCGTGCGCGTGTACCGGATCTTCCTGAGGAGAAAGGGTAACATCAAGGTCTCATACACCAGTTCTAAGTCCCAGGTCCTCACGTTTTTGACCTTCGCTTCCATAGAGGTGAGTCCTACCTAGTTTTTATCCTCTAGAGCAGGGGTCTCCAAACTACGGCCCGCGGGCCGGATGCGGCCCGCGAGGTCCTCTCATCCGGCCCGCGGAGATATTTTTGTCCAAGGAAAAATTGTTTGTTGGTGATGGCTGAGGAAATTTGCCTAGAAAAATCAAAGACATGCCTAGAAGAAACTGGCCCCGAACTGAAATTTGATAATTAATGCGGCCCTCAGACTGAAAAGTTTGGAGACCCCCTGCTCTAGAGCATAGATGTAAAGACAAGAAAACGATGCCATCTCAATCAGCATGTAACATGTCGGCAGAGATGTCGTCAAGCTCTGTCTTTGATGTTAGTCTAGAGGGGAGTAACCCATATTTTGTGATATTAGGGTTTTTATGTTTTTCGGCCTTATGGTTTGTCGGCTTTATAGTCTGTCGGCCTTTTGTCGAGTCGGCCATTTTATGTCGACCTGTTGTCCCATTGGCCTTTTGGTTGTCGGCCTTTAATCCTACACATAGCAATTTTTATTCTTTGCTCATGTAGTATAAAATTATTTTTTTCGAACGAATGCGTGAAAAGTAGAAAATAGATCTCACATTGAAATTAAATATTTTTAAAGGAAAAAGTCTTTTATAATATTCACACACAAAAAAAAGTCTGGGCGCGCACTTATGGAAAATATATTTCTCTGCATTGGAGTTTATTGTTAAGTTTACGTTTTATAACATAATATAATACCTATAATCAGTGGCGTAGCGAGGTCGGGTGTCACCCGGTGCGGTCCGCACCTCCCGACCCCCTCCCCTCGCTACGCCTCTGCCTATGTTCAATTTCCATCACTGAGCGCCCACTATCCGTTTACATTTTTATCTCTTCCATAGATTGTTGTCTTTATTATTATCGAAATGAAATTCCCGATACGAGTGCTAGACTTCATGCCGGAAAAAAACGTTCCGTACGTCGAGACGGCCTGCCTGATCCACGAGGAACTCGTCGCTCCGTATTTCGTCCTGGACATCTCGTTGCTGTTCCTGTGCTCCGTGCTGGCGTTCAAGACGCACAGCCTGCCCAGCACGTACAAGGAGAGCCGCAACGTGTCCATGTGCGTCATCACGACCCTGATCATGTGGGTGGCCTTCCTGCCCGCCCACTTCTCCACCACCAGCCACAACCTGAAGGTGGTGCTGCTGGCCCTGTCGGTGCTCATGAACCACTCGACGGCCATCTTCTTTCTCTTTATGCCGCGGCTGCTCAGCCTGAAGAATGCCTCAACGATGGGGTTTCTCAGGAGGTTCAGCGCCGATGACTAGAGCCAGGCTTGACAGCCTGATGAAAGCTACACCAGGTCATAGACCAGAGGCGTAGCGACCCTTCCCGGCGCCCGGAGACAAACTTTCAATTGGGCGCCTCTCCCCCCCCCCCCTCATCGGGAACAACCTTTCAATTTTCAATTTACGCCCCCCGTCAAACTTTCAAATTCCACCCCACCCCCTCAAACTTTCAATTTGCAACTCTCCCCCCCCCCCCCCCATACATTTCTTATATTTAAAATGCAAAACTGCAGTTAAAATTGTTGTTTTTACAACCCATTTTGGCGCCCGGGGACATATGTACCCCCCCCCCCCCCACACACACACTCGCTTCGCCTCTGCTATAGACAAAGTGAGTTAATGAGTAGTAGACATCTACGATCGTGAAATGCGTGTTTCTCACCCATGTTAATGTTTTCAGACAAAGTTGTTTATGTTATGAACTGGTTGTTTGCGCTTTATTTTTTGCAATCGTTTTATTATTATCTTGTCATTTATTTTGTATAGGATGTTAATAAAAAAAGTGAAATTTAAAAATAAATGGTTTTCACGTTTTCTTTACATTCCATTGTAAGTTTCTTGAGATTTAAAATAATTGTTTGCTTATAGTCTTAAAAAGAAAATATGATAGTATACTTTAACTTTCTTTTTTTTAAATTAAATTTACAATTGAAACATCTTTCTATTTTTCATTTATTTAATTGTTTAGTTTTTTACTTTCTCGTATATACGAAGTATAGAGAAAGTCTTGTAATCGTGCAAAAAAAAAAAATCGAGACTTTTACAAATCTCGACGTTTTACACCTCACTGATACGGAAAAACATAATTTTTGCAATCTTGTCCGTATGTCTGTGTGTCTGTGTGTGTGTGTGTCTATGTTGATGAAATTTCATATATAAGTATTATATCAAAATCGTAGATCCGTATCAACTTTTGAGCTTCCGATAACCGGAAGTGGAACTTTTTCTACTTTGATTTTTTCAAAAGCCTATAACGTGAGTACCATTTCAGATATATAAATGAAATTTCACAAGTAAGTAAAAGATCTAATTTTCTGTCTTCTTTAAAATTTTGAATAATTTTCGTTGACCGGAAGTAGAAATTTACGCTATTTCCGATTTCTCAAAAAAACGCATGTAAATTTATAAAGTACTAATAATATCGAGCACTATTATGCCCATTTTATTTGATGTCAACTTGGTGTGCAATTATTTTTTACGAGATTCTATTCTATTATAAAAAGTTTAAGTAATTAAAAATGGATTAAAATGTTGTCTATGTCCTGAGTTGCCATCCCCCGTAGTGTTATATTAGAATATTCGAGAAAGTTTAGGGGAGATCACTCCCGGTTTATTTAGATTAGTGTCTGAATAAAGTTTATTAACTTTAATTTTGTCGTGTGTCTTGCTTTGTATTGAAGCACACACTTCTGTTTTTTAAGGAAGTAATTATTTCAAGTGTTTTCGATTTTTGTTTAAAAGTTAATTTTTCATTTAAATTTTTTAGCCATTTTTTAACTTTATAAACGGCTAAAGTGTCCATGTTTTTTTTAAACTTTTTTTTTATATCTTTGATTTTTTTTTTTGGGTTACATTTTACATTTAACTTTATACTTAAATAAACACATGTTTTTTTTCGTACATTCAAGCTTAATGTGAAATATATTTTAAAAATATTTGGTAGCGACATAAAGTCTGACATCAGCGAACAATACAAAAAGCATCTACTCTGATTAAATATGTCTTAAAATTAAAATCAGAGGGGAATGTTATGTATCAATAACCTGAAGAAAACAACGGTATTGAATCAATTATTTCAAAAATACAATTATAATATATTTTATAAAACAACATAAACTGAACTCCACTTTTGATTATATTTTATTGCATTATATTGTAAAATGAAATATTTAATTTACATTCTTTGTTAAATAGAACATGTTAGTTTTTTTTAATTAAGTTAAAATTAAAGGAGACAGATGAAGGTACGATTAATTAAGAAGAAACGTTCGTAAGAACGAATCAAAGATCGCATGCAAATAAAAGCGGCAGCACACATTTTATTTTTTCCATCACCAATCCAGGCTCAGTGACTGAGAAAACTCGTGTCCCCTAGGACATCTCTTGTGTCCTGTAGGACACCTCTTGTGTCCTGTAGGACACCTCTCAGCTGGCGACATCTACGCTTGAGACGGCTGAAGTGATGAAGAAAAAAAAATGCAGACTTAGTTGTTGTTATAAGGATGGGAAGTGAAGTTTTCACATAGCAAGGGACGCTTAATTAGTGCATCTTCAAAAAAGCTAATTAAAACATTGAATTAATGTGTCTTAAAAAAATGTTTAAAAATGCACATAATGTTTTTTAAAAGTACTTAAATTCTAACCAGTTAAATGCTCTATTAAATCATACACAAGAGCAACATAAAATATAATAATAAATAGAAATAAATAAATATTATTTTTAATAAATAAATATTTAATGTGAATTGACATTGTTTTATAAAGTCTTGTTTGAAAACGACTTTTGTATTATCAATTAAAATATAATTTTTAAAAATTATAGTTTTATTGAAAATTAGTAATTGATATTACACATCAAAATGTTTTTTTCTTGTTTTGACAGACGTATTTAATTACAATTGAATTTAGTTGACTGTTAACAAAAAACATCAACTGATAATTTACTCAGTTAAAGTGGTATCCTCGGTGAAAATTTTCTTTTACATATGTTCATGGCGTATTCATGTTCAAATGGTAGTATTCTGGGCTTTTTACGTAAGCAACAAGCAACTTTATTCGTATAGAAATTCGTTGAAGAAAATATTTGTATAAGGGTCACACGATTAGAACAACCGTACCATTGTATTTTATCGAAGGTTAAAGATCAATGTTATTAGTTTTTGTGGTTGTTATATCCTTCATCACTGAAATCCCTGATACATCAGTGGAGGTTTTAGTTTGGTTGACTTCGTTGGTTCGTTTTGTAACAGGTTCAGCTGTGGACGTTCTAGAGAGTTCGAGCTCCGTTTCTTTTTTAAGCTCCGGTCCTGGACTTTTTGGGATCTCTGCTTTTGTACTTTTGGCGAGTTCAAGCTTCGATAGTTTGTGGCGTTGAACAACTGATGGAATTTTCGTGAGTTCCTCAGTTCTATCTTTAGCTGGCTCCACTGTTGGATGTTGGTCGAAGTTTTCCGACTTGGGAAGTTTGACCTGATCCAGCTTTTGATCATTTTGGGGAACTTCCTGGTCCTTTCCGCCACTGGATTGCGGGAAAATTTTGGTGAATTCCTTATCGTACCAGCTAATGACGTCGTCAATGCTAATGAGGTCGGAGGCGTTTTTTAACAGCTGACTTAAAACATCCTGGTTGCCTACAGCCTGGTGGGTCAGGTTGCCGAAGCTGGGTGTTTGACTCATGGTGTCTGCTATTAGGTCAATCAGTTTCAAAGCCCTCGTTTCGTTGTAGTCAGGTTTCTCTTCCTTTATGCTTTGGAGCTCTACTGTTTTATTGACAGCCCTGGTGTTATTGACGTCAGGTTTTTTAATGCCTTTCAGAATCTTTGCAATGTTGTAAGGCTCTGCTTCTACCGGGCTTGTTGGTTTTCGTTTAGATTGAGATTTCCTGATGGATTTCTGGTTTTCTGAAACTCGTGGACTGTGCCTGGATCGAATCCAAGAAGGGCTGTTGGTTATTTCATCGACATAAACGTCTTTGTTTCCGTCTTCATACGATGAAAGTTCAAGTCCCTCTTGGGATGATGGGTCCTCTGAAGTGACCTCCTCCGCTGTATGGTGATGGCTGTTAACGCCTTGACTGAAGCCTTCAACAGGAGAATCTTTGGTGCTTGGTTTAGGGTATTTGGACTCGTTAACATTATACCTCATGTGAGGATTTCCATGAGTAATCGTCTGGGACAAGGGTTCTTGCTCATGTTTGCTAGGACGGTATTGATCGTTGGTATCTTCATCATTCCTTATGACTCTAGTTGATGGCAATACACTGCTGACTGACAACGTTTTGGTATTTGTATTTTGCTGTGGTTGACCAATATTTTCACTCTCTAGCGTTTTAGTGATTTGAAGTTGTTCTGATTTATGTCTATAGCGTATGTCTGTCTCTACGGGCTTTTGTGCATCATTCCCACTGTCGCTCCTCTCAGATACTAATACGTTGCCTTGTGTTTGTCGGTCGTTATCGATTGTGCTTTTATTGTCGTACCAGTTGTTTTTCTTTTTGCCGTTTCGGGGCGTTCCCTTGATAAAGTGCGTAGCTACTTTTTTTTGTTGAGGTGCATTTTGTCTCGATGCGTCGTCTTTTTTCGTGGTTGGGTCTTTAGCAGACGATTTAATGAACTGGGGCATCCCGTCGTCTGCTGGCACCAGGACCTTGTGAGGCGAGTCTCCTAGAGATGGCTGGGCGGTACCTTCTGTAAGTCTTGGTCGGTCCAGTCCTTCGTGTCGAATATGACTGACAAAACTCTCCCCGTCATCTATCGTCTCCTCGTGATTATTGATGGCGCCGTACTCCAAATTTTGTTTAGGGGTATGTTGATTCGTCTTGTGCAAGACTTCTGAACCATCAATAAACCGGTCAGGGTTTGGTTGTTCTGATGCTCCACCTTGGAGTCTAGTCTCTGGAACTTTCCTAGCTGCGTCATTTCCATTTGAAACAATAATGTTATTTTTATTTGATTTGCCTCCTTGCTTTGGTTTTTTATTGCTATCTCGAGGAATTACACTGGGCGAAGCTTTGTTTTTAGTCGAATGATTTCGGTTTACTTTCTTTGGGAAACGTATATTTGGTTTCTTGACTTTGGGGGCTCTATCAGGTGTAACCACCGCTGCTGGCGGCACCAGACCAGCAGGTCTATCAAGGTGAGAAATACCTGCGGGCCGGTCATAAACATCAAGATTCGCTGGTTTGTCAGAAACATCAAGATTCGCTGGTTTGTCAGAAACATCAAGATTAGCTGGTTTGTCTGAAACATCCAAATCGGCAGGACTTTCGAAAATATCAATTTTTGCAGGACGATCCGATATTTCAATTTTTGAAGGCTGGTTAAGAATATCAAAATTAGCCGGGGCTTCAAAAATATCAACAATTAAACGTCTGTCTGAAACTCCAGTAGGTCTGCCGTAAACATCGACTCTTGAATCTTTTCCCGTGTTCACTTCTATGCCTCCCCTCTTTCTGGCCACATCATACGAAACCTCCCCCTCTGTTTGTGTACTTCCATCTTTACCAGACTCCAGTCTCCCTCTAGTGTCCCATGTTTTGCTGTTTGTTACTCTCATACCCTCAACCTTTGAACCAGCAAACTGACTCGGCCTTCTGTTGGTACTTGTCGTGTCTGGTCTATCGTTTCCTCTCCTTCCATTATTCGGCTCCAGAAAATTCTTGTGCTGATAAAATCCTCCAACCATCCGTACACTGTTCACGTCAACTGGCTCTTCAACAACAAAACTCTCTCTTTCGTTACTTATATCTACATCTTCATCTAATTCAACATTTTGAACTGGTTTCTTTCTTTCATCAACCTCATTAACGTAAATTTCATCATTTGTGTCATCATACTCCGTCACACGTGTTGCAGGTTTTTCTTGTGAGTTCTCTTGATTTGGGTTTCTTCTTCCATCGCTATTCCCACCGTTTTCATCAGTCTGTAGATCTACTATGCTGTCATCGTACCTTCTGTTATCGTTTATATCCGGCCGATGCAATGCAAACGATGATACCTGCTCTGTATTTTCATTGGAGCTTGAAAAAACTTTATCTAGCTCTAAGAAAATATTTTCCGTCTCTTCGGATTCTTGGCTCGATTGAGAACTACTTTCCTGCGACTGCTCAGGCTGGAGGCGTCCTGTTTTATCTTGACCACGCTTTTCATATCCATTTCTTTCATGGCCGTTCACTATATCAACAGATACAGGTCTTCCTGGAGTAAGTTCTTTCGATTTAGATTTGCCTTTTGAAGCTGACTTTCCATGAACATTTGAAACACTAGATTCTCCGTGTTCCGTTCTAGGTAGAGACGGCTGTCTAGAATTACTGAACAGGGTTTTAAAAGGTGAAAGGTTAGGGAAACTCGGACCCTCACTCACAGTTTTTGATTTCTCCTGAACCCGAGCGACGGGCCGAGCTTTTCTGGCACTCGGCTTGTCACCGACGACTTGGCTGTACTTGGAATTGCTCACGGCGCGTTTGATCTCGTTCCCGGCCCTCCCGCTCTCGGTGGCCTGTTCCTCGGTGGCTCTAGTGTCCGGGGCGCGGCTGACGGGCAGGACGCTGGGTGCGGCCTCGACTGGCATGGGGCCCTTCTTCTCCACGTCCGCGGGGTCGCTGTCGATGTATCTCCTGCAGTAGCGGGCTATCAGGACCTGATAAACAACGACAACACAATCGGTTAGATGGGTATATACATACAGGCACAATAAGATCACTTTTAGCCTTACCTAAGTTATTGAACATTAACCCGCGCAAGTTTTTATACGAATTTTATTGTATTTTATTTTTAAATTCAGTATAGCTATAGTCAAAACATTGAACCGCATTTATCGAGAAATCAAATGAAATGACTCTTTCTTTTTACCTTTCTTTCACTAAATTAGTTTTCCGTTTAAATTTAATAATTAGATACCAATTTAATTCCATAGCGTTAATTTAATTTTGCTTTCTTTAAAAACTGACAACCTACATACATTTCTAAAAAGTAAAAAATCAAAGCGCTCTCAATATTCACGAGCCTATCCTTTTATACTATGGGGGCAGCTATGTTAGGAAAGATACCATTTTAATGTTATGGGGACAGCTATGTTAACAAAGGTACCATTTTGATGTTATGGGGACAGCTATGTTAACAAAGATACCATTTTAATGTTAATTTTGTATGATTCTTCATAAAGATATACATCATTTGATTCGTTCAACAGACAAACCAATCTAAACTAAGGGAAATCACTCACGTTGTCAAGGTAGCCTTTGTACATGGATTGTCTCTCAAGAGGATCTGCACCAATAGTCAAAGGGCAGGGCGTCTTCTGTATGGGTCCTGTGGGGCAGAACGGGTTAACTCGTTTTAATATATATATATATATATATATATATATATATATATATATATATATATATATATATACAGAGGCGTAGCGAGGGGGGGGGGGAGGGGGGTGCGGACCGCACCGGGTGACACCATTTAGGGGAGTAACATCAAGGCAAAAATAGCAAAATATATAGAGAAAACTTTGAGGGGAGGGGTGCAAATCGAAAGTTTGAGGGGGAGGGGTGCAAATCGAAAGTTTGAGGGGGGGGGGGGGGGTTGCAAATAAAAAAATCATCACCGGGAAGGGTCGCTACGCCTATGGGGCGGGGGTGACACCATTAAGTGTCGCACCGGGTGACACCCGACCTCGCTACGCCACTGTATATATATATATATATATATATATATATATATATATATATATATATATATATATATATATATATATATATATATATATCATAGGCTATATAATATAAATGGAATGAATGTCCATTTGTGAATAAAGTGGATGACGTTGAGTGATGTGAGAATCTATAAATAGCTGACCTGTGAAATCTTGTGAAATGATGCACGGCTGGTCATCGACCCTGAGCAGCAGAGTCCCGTCCTCGTAGATGAGTGAGACGGTGTGCCAGCTGTATGCACCCTGGGGGGGGGGGAGAAAAATCGATGAGTCTCACACTGTGGTAGATCTCACATACCCTAAATGTAACTCTAATTCGCGTAAATTAGCTTGACTGGGTACCCGTTGGTTAAAATTGTTTATAGCTCACTAGTTGTGTACCAAAAGTCGTAAAGGGAGTTAAACACTATTACAACTCCACACTTAATGCTCAGCAAGTAGGTTTACACTCTTTCAATAAACTCCATTGTCAAGACCTCAACAAATTCACTAGACTCACCAGATGGTATCACCCGCTTCACAATAAAATCATCAGTCATTACCATTTTAGACTCACCAATTGGTATCACCCTCCCCACACAAAATCACCAATCACCACTGGAGACTCACCAATTTGTATCACCCTCCCCGCACAAAATCACCAGTCACTACGATTAGACTCACCAATCTGTATCACCCTCCCCACACAAAATAACCAGTCACCACGACTTGAGACTCACCAATTTGTATCACCCTCCCCACAAAAAGTCACCAGTCACCACGATTAGACTCACCAATTTGTATCACCCTCCCCACACTAAGTCACCAGTCACCACGATTAGACTCACCAATTTGTATCACCCTCCCCACACAAAGTCACCAGTCACCACGATTAGACTCACCAATTTGTATCACCCTCCCCACACAAAGTCACCAGTCACCACGATTAGACTCACCAATTTGTATCACCCTCCCCCCACACACAAAGTCACCAATCACCACTAGAGACTCACCAATTTGTATCACCCTCCCCCCACACAGAAAGTCACTAGTCACCACTAGAGACTCACCAATTTGTATCACCCTCCCCCCACACAGAAAGTCACTAGTCACCACTAGAGACTCACCAATTTGTATCACCCTCCCCCCACACAGAAAGTCACTAGTCACCACTAGAGACTCACCAATTTGTATCACCCTCCCCCCACACAGAAAGTCACTAGTCACCACTAGAGACTCACCAATTTGTATCACCCTCCCCCCACACAGAAAGCCACCAATCACCACTAGACACTCACCAAACGCTTGGTGCAGACGATTGCCTTCCTAGCGCTGGACGTCTCAAAAGCCAAGAGATACGACTGGTCAGCTGGCCGGTATCCGATGGCCAGCGATGGCGTGGTGTAGCCGGGGTTGGATACGTTACAGCCGTTGGAGATGAAGATTTGGTACTTGTCTCTGTTAGCGGGGTCGTTAGTCATCTTGAACCTGAACTCTACTCTCAGTGATGTGCCCAGCTCGTTTCCTGAAAGTGGTGTTGAGGTGTAGATATATAGAAGCAAAGGGGGGGGGGGGGGTTTCGGGGGTCGAGTGGGGGGTCGAATCGGTAAAGCTCATGGTTGTTATACCAAAAAGTTCTCGAGTTTGAACTCTCGGGCAGATGAGGGTGACCCGTCAAAAGAGCGCACGACAAAAGAGCGCCGACATAAGAGCGCAGACAAAAGAGCGCCGACATAATAGCGCCGACAAAAGAGCGCAGACAAAAGAGCGCCGACATAAGAGCGCAGTCAATTTAAAAAAAACACATGTTGTACGCTAAACGAATATGACATGGTTAACTCTTGTTTTAATTAAACAATCGGCGAGAGAACAACGTCTTTATTTATTTAATTTGGTTAATATGTTATGAATGCAGTTTGACAATATTTCTAATCCAATTAACATGGAGAAGATCGAATCACAGAAAGTGAAGGTTATTATATTGGTCGAAGGCTACAGAAATAGAAAGGACAAAGCAAATGCTGATGGAAGTACGACATGGAGATGCTGCAAGAAAGATGGCTGCCGAGGACGGATGAAAATGCTGAACGATGTTGTTCAGTCATCATCAGAACACAATAACGCAGCTGCCATACCCAAATCCGCAGAACGTTGCATAGATAACAATTCCTGAACCTCTTCAAACGACAACCAGAAGTTTCAAAGAACAAATATGTTCAGCTGAACCGAAGATAGCAGGGGATTGCTTCAACCTATGCTAATGATTCAATGCAGGATTACCTACGAGGTATAGCCCACAACTTAGCAATATAAATTCAACTATTAAGAAACGTTTTATTATTCTAACTTATTTTCATTTTGTTACATTTCATTTCAGTTTATATTCTCACTTTAGGCCTTACATTTAAAATCTTTGTATGTGTTATTAGATTGCGTTTTGAATAACTGGACTCTACGTTGGTTGTACCAGTTTTTTAGTTAAAGAAACTGAACAATTAGCTTTTTAATGAAGCAATAAAGAGTTAACACCAAACGATGCCTTCTGATCTGAGTTAATTTTCTTGTTTTTATTTATTAAATATGGTTTTTCGATTTTTAGTTTGCGCTCTTATGTCGGCGCTCTTTTGTCGGGAAATTGATGCGCTCTTATGTCGGCGCTCTTATGTCGGCGCTCTTATGTCGGCGCTCTTTTGTCGTGCGCTCTTTTGACGGGGTGCCGAGGCTCAACAGCTAGGGACAGCAACTCTTCTAGGAGAGACAACTCCAAAATCAAACAACTGCTGTCTTGTAGTTTGTTCTTGGTTGGACAAAGGGAGAAAATCCAAGGAAGAAAAGCAGGCTGAAATCAGAGTCAATGGACTATATGGCGCATAACCAGTTGACACGTAATACTTAATTGTGTTGGAGGTAATTAATTCCACCACTAGAATTAAGAACGAAGAAGAAAAAAAATGAAACAATATCAGAGAGGGAAGTTGTGAACTGTGGATGTGTGGCGTTCATTCCACTACCCAACATCTTAATCCAATACCAGCTAAACTGTTCTACACATCTTATAATCCAACTGGTATTCCAAGACAGGGTTCATCTATACAACGATTAAATATTTTTGTATAGCTTTTTAACAAATCGTAGGAAGATGTTTTGGTGGAGACCTTCTAATTTTTCTCCTCTCCTCCCCCCCCCCCTACCACTAGGAGGCAAATAACCCATGGATAAGTGAGCATATGCTAGAGTATGTACTCGCTAGAGTGTAGGGTGCAGTTACTTGTAGTTAACAACAGAACTACAGAAGCTGACGATAGTTTTGCCTGCGAAATACCATGAGTTTAAGGCTAGAGTATGTCTACTTGCGCGCAGAGTTTCTTCCAGGCATCTCTCTGGGGGGGGGGGGGGGTCAAAGACCCCCCCCCCCCCAAAAAAAATGTCCGCCCCCCCCCCCCCCCCCTCCGAACGAAATTAAATTTATATAATTTATATAGAAAATATATACTTTTAACAGTGTTCTTTCCCCCCCCCCCCTCCGAAGAAAGTCTACCGCCCCCGGAAAATTTCAAGTGCCCCCCACCTCCCGGAGAAAAAAGTCTGGAAGAAACACTGCGAGATTGCTTAGTGCAGTTATTAGATACAAGCTGTATAGAGCTTTACCTGTGAAATACCTAATGTTTAAGGCTAGAATATGTACTTGCATGTTTGCATGCTGTTATTTGGCTATTAACTGATAAATTTACATCAGAATTGCGAATGCTGTAGAGAGCGTTACCTGCGAAATACCAAATGTTTAGGGCCGTTTCACTAAAGAACGCCGCCTTTGTTCCGTCGACAGCTTCCTTGGGGTCAAGGTCGAATGTGGGCACCACCGGCCCACGGCCAACCTCGACGAAAGAATTTTTCGCCGAGTCTTTGAGCCCGTCCTCGAAGGTTATGTTGAGCATGATGTCGCAGGGGGTGATACCTGGAGATACAGAAGTTAGTCATGTGACTAGATTAATGTTGAGCATGATATCACAGAGGGTGATGCCTGGACATACAGAAGTCATGTGACTAGATTAATGTCGAGCATGATATCACAGAGGGTGATGCCTGGAGATACAGAAGTTAGTCATGTGACTAGATTAATGTTGAGCATGATGTCACAGAGGGTGATGGCTGGAGATACAGAAGTCATGTGACTAGATATACATCACGTGACGTTGTGCTAATAATAGGCGCAGTTTGAACAGAAGCAGGGGTGGGGATGGGGGCCGGATGTGTTGCTGGACACTGGCTGCTGGTTGTAGGTACTGGAGTCTCCTCTGTTCTAAAAGGGAGAAGTCTTCAGTCTGAGAAAGTAAAGATGACTACGCTATTTCTTCAACAGGTAGTGTCTGGTGAGTAAGAGGTTTTTGACATGAGATTCGTCAACGAGTGAATTGAAAACAAAGAACAGTGGAAGGTTGTTTTACGGCAGATAACTTTTTAAGCATAATGAAATACGATTGTAGGTTTTGTGTTTTAAAAAAAAATGCAGGAAGGTCAACTTTACTGGAAGAAAGAGAAAATTGTAATTCTGTTACAGTCGATTTAGGGTAGTACTGTAGAGCTAAGCTAAGAAAATAAATACTGTTACCGTTCGTTTGCAGGTTACATTAGTATAGGCTAGAATAGTCTAGAACTTAGTGGAGAGTGTGTGTGAGTTAACCCCGGGGTGTTTATGTTTTGTTATCCTAAGGTCGAATACGGGTATAAAAGCGAAGTTAACGATTGTTTTGGGCTTTTGGTAGTGACTAGCATAGAGGAAGTTACGTTGGTTTGTAAAAAAAGGTGTTCTGAGTAAACTACTTGAACTGCGTAGCCTTTGTTAGGTTGAATGAAAGCAGGTCGCAAGACACACTTTACGTTAAAATAAGGACACACTTTAACATATTTTACAGAATCAAATGAGGTAGGATGTGAGTGGTATGATTGACCCAGTGACCTACCTTGGCCAGTGATCATCTCCTTGCTGCGACTCCTGGTCCCACACTAGACCAGCCACGGCCAGAGAACTAGGCTAGACATGAGGGGTAAGACTAACCCAGTGACCTACCTTGACCAGTGATCATCTCCTTGCTGCGAGGTCCCCATACACACTGGCAAGACTCCTGGTCCCACACTAGACCAGCCACGGCCAGAGAACTAGGCTAGACATGAGGGGTAAGACTAACCCAGTGACCTACCTTGGCCAGTGATCATCTCCTTGCTGCGAGGTCCCCATACACATTGGCACGACTCCTGGTCCCACACTAGACCAGCCACAGCCAGAGAACAGTCTCGAACGATCCAGTTCCCGTTGACAAACTGCTCGTATTTCCCGCTGGGCTCCGTGCTTGTCGCGCGGTGCTCCCTGGGGGAGAGGTGGGATACAGGTGTGTAAAGGGAAGGTGGGATACAGGTGTTTAAAGGGGAGGTGAGCAAAAGGTGTGTAAAGGGAAGGTGAGAATCAGTTGTAAGAAGAAGGGAAGGGGTGGGGTGGGATACAGGTGTGACAAGGGAAGGTGGGAAACAGATGTGTAAAGGGGAGGTGAGAATCAGTTGTAAGAAGAAGGGAAGGGGTGGGGTGGGATACAGGTGTGACAAGGGAAGGTGGGATACAGGTGTGTAAAGAGAAGGTGGGATACAGGTGTGTAAAGGGAAGGTGGGAAACAGATGTGTAAAGGGGAGGTGAGAATCAGTTGTAAGAAGAAGGGAAGGGGTGGGGTGGGATACAGGTGTGACAAGGGAAGGTGGGGTACAGGTGTGTAAAGGGAAGGTGAGAATCAGTTGTAAGAAGAAAGGAAGGGGGGGTGGGAAACAGGTGTGTAAAGGGAAGGTGGGGTACAAGTGTGTAAAGGGAAGGTGAGAATCAGTTGTAAGAAGAAGGGAAGGGGGGTGGGAAACAGGTGTGTAAAGGGAAGGTGAGAAGCAGACGTGACTTGCAGAGAGAGGTGAGAATGGGGTGTGAAGAGAAGCGGAAGTGAGACACAGGTGTTAACTTGTATGTACATAACTCAATACCTCTGTAAATATATGGTTAATTTTAAAACACATCGCAAGTTTATGAGCTCGTATTCCAACGCTAGAGTTTATGTCAACTTCGGTTGTTTTTATCCATATGTAACCTACCAAGATGATATAATTCTTAAAGACTACTCATAAAAATATAACTAAGTTATGATGGGAGTTTCTGTTTCCAAGCTTCTCCAGATTTCAAAAAATTACCTTGAAATATCAAGTGTGTTTTATAAGTCTTTCTTACAAAAGAGGAATCAAATGTAAATTTTGTTTGACATGGAAAAGTTTTAAAACTTATGCCTCCCCTGAAGTTGAAAGAATAGTAAAAAAAAACTTAATTAAAGATAAACTCTTAAACGTAAGACAAGCACATCTTGTGTTTAAAGAGTGACGACAACATATTTTTAAGATAGATGTGGTCCCTGGGTCTAAAAAGGAGACAACGAATTTAAAAGTTGTTTGAAAACTATTCAGAACGTCCTTGTGAAATGTGTACCTGCACTCAATATTCGGTCGCCGTCCGTTGGGGTACTCACACCTGCAGAGGGACTGGTTCCATCGCAGACCTTCCTGGCAGAGCTGGGTCCACCAGTCGTTGTTGTGGAACACCTGGAAGGCGCTGGGGTTGTCGGACTTGGGTCTGTGTGTGCCCGTACAATCTGGGGACCAAGTGCGTGTAGTGGTTGATGTGTGTAAGGGGAAATAATTCATTGGTCGGTAGTTGCAAGACACAATAGAATCAAATCTGTGCGAAAGTTTAAGGACATACACTATAACATCGATTCGGCTATCGGTTTAGGTAGAGTTTCTGAGACCCAGAAGAAAATCGCATTAATGCACGCCATAAAATTACAAATAAATTTGTTTTAGAGCCTTGCTAATCATCTAATAGCCAAAGTTACTGCGATACCCGGTGTGTGTATATATATATATATATATATATATATATATATATATATATATATATATATATATATATATATATTAAACTAAAAAAATGTTAACAAATTGACGACAAGTTTAAAATAAAACCAGAGAAAACCTTAAAAACAAGTTAATAAAAAGTCTAGTGACAATTTAAGCGCAATTTCCTTAATTAATTTTTTTTTAAATGTGAAAAAATGATTAGGCCTAGCGAAACAAAACCTTGTAATTGTAACTCCCTATCACTCTCATATAAATTATAAATAAATTAATAGGGTACAAAAATAACGTTTGAATTAATAAGTTAAAAAAAAGACAACTAGATTAACCTATATCAACGGAAATAGTTTTATTTTAACGAGTAGGCCTACAAGATGCTCAGTTTAAAATATCATCCTAGGCCTATACGATGCTCAGTTTGAATAATTTTAAAAAAAATTTTGTGACCGAACGAAAGGATATTTTTGAAAACTTTCTTCGGCAATATTGTTCTAAATTATGACAGGAATCGATTGGTAAATGTTTGAAGTCGCTAAGTGGTCTGGTTGCTGAGATATGGAGCAAAAACTGCATTTGTTCGAGGTTTTTTGGCTTTTCCGGGAAATCCAGGAAGGAATTCCGGGAATTGTTTTGGCCCATAATCATCCTTGGAACTTGCTTAACATATTTGCTTTTGGAACTAGTCCTTGATATTGCTGCGTTGAGGAGGAGATACGACTTAAAGCTGCGGACACACATCCATCCATTCATTCATACATCCATTCATCCATCCAGAAATGACGAGTTAATAATCGCAATTGTCCGTATGGAAATTGCGCTAAAAACTATTGAAGCGACAGAACACCCACCATACAACAACAAAGTTGAAGCGACAGAACACCCACCATACAACAACACTATTGAAGCTACAGAACACCCACCATACAACAACAAAGTTGAAGCGACAGAACACCCACCATACAACAACACTATTGAAGCGACAGAACACCCACCATACAACAACACTATTGAAGCGACAGAACACCCACCATACAACAACACTATTGACGCTACAGAACACCCACCATACAACAACACTATTGAAGCGACAGAACACCCACCATACAACAACACTATTGAAGCGACAGAAGACCCACCATACAACAACACTATTCAAGCTACAGAACACCCACCATACAACAACACTGTTGACGCTACAGAACACCCACCATACAACAACACTATTGAAGCTACAGAACACCCACCATACAACAACACTATTGAAGCTACAGAACACCCACCATACAACAACACTATTGAAGCGACAGAACACCCACCATACAACAACACTATTGAAGCGACAGAACACCCACCATACAACAACACTATTGAAGCTACAGAACACCCACCATACAACAACACTATTGAAGCGACAGAACACCCACCATACAACACTATTGAAGCTACAGAACAACCACCATACAACAACACTATTGAAGCTACAGAACACCCACCATACAACAACACTATTGAAGCTACAGAACACCCACCATACAACAAAACTATTAAAGCTACAGAACACCCACCATACAACAACACTATTGAAGCGACAGAACACCCACCATACAACAACACTATTGAAGCGACAGAACACCCACCATACAACAACACTATTGAAGCGACAGAACACCCACCATACAACAACACTATTGAAGCTACAGAACACCCACCATACAACAACACTGTTGACGCTACAGAACACCCACCATACAACAACACTATTGAAGCTACAGAACACCCACCATACAACAACACTATTGACGCTACAGAACACCCACCATACAACAACACTATTGAAGCTACAGAACACCCACCATACAACAACACTGTTGACGCTACAGAACACCCACCATACAACAACACTATTGAAGCTACAGAACACCCACCATACAACAACACTATTGACGCTACAGAACACCCACCATACAACAACACTATTGAAGCTACAGAACACCCACCATACAACAACACTATTGAAGCGACAGAACACCCACCATACAACAACACTATTGAAGCTACAGAACACCCACCATACAACAACACTATTGAAGCGACAGAACACCCACCATACAACAACACTATTGAAGCTACAGAACACCCACCATACAACAACACTATTGAAGCGACAAAACACCCACCATACAACAACACTATTGAAGCGACAGAACACCCACCATACAACAACACTGTTGACGCTACAGAACACCCACCATACAACAACACTATTGAAGCGACAGAACACCCACCATACAACAACACTATTGAAGCGACAGAACACCCACCATACAACAACACTATTGAAGCTACAGAACACTCACCATACAACAACACTATTGAAGCTACAGAACACCCACCATACAACAACACTATTGAAGCGACAGAACACCCACCATACAACAACACTATTGAAGCTACAGAACACCCACCATACAACAACACTATTGAAGCTACAGAACACCCACCATACAACAACACTATTGAAGCTACAGAACACCCACCATACAACAACACTATTGAAGCGACAGAACACCCACCATACAACAACACTATTGAAGCTACAGAACACCCACCATACAACAACACCGTTGACGTAGCCGGCGGGGCGCCCAACTCCTCCACGTTGATAGGGTCGTTGTTAAATATATTCGACCTTGACCTTTCTTGAGCCGACGATCGCGAGGTCACGATGACCAAAACGGCCATCAACAGTTTGCTGGAGCGTGTCGTCATCCTCAGCTCACCCTTGATCTAAAATAGTACAGGAATTCAGAGTGCTGCACGATAATCTAGCTTGATTATAAGATATTATATCTAAGTGTACGGGGGCAACTCACACTTTATCAATATTAGTATAAAGTGTTTTAATGTGAAAAAGGAGAGACACGAGAGAAAGAGAGAGAGAGAGAGAGAGAGAGAGAAAGAGAGAGAGAGAGAGGGAGAGAGAGAGAGATTGAGAGAGAGAGAGAAAGAGAGAGAGCGTTAGGGGATAGCAAATCCCAGCAATACTTTAAAAAATGTCTCAAACATTTCAGCAGTGTCTCTATCTACAAATCTTTATTTCTCCCCCCCCCCCCCAACCACTAACAAAATTAGTTTTCGAGACATTATCCATATTTAAAAAAAACAAAATAAATAATCCTTGATTAATTTAGTATCAACTCAGGAAGTCAATTGTATCGATTGCTTTTAGAACTGTATCTATGTTAATTCAATTTACATTTTAAAAATTAATTTATAGATTACTTTAAAAAAAAAAGAAATAGAATACTTATTTAAGTCGTTGCCGTTTTAACAAACCGTACAATAAGAATATCGAAATTTTCTTCATTAATCGCTAGTTAAACTATTGTTTCGTGTATAAGAAATTATACTAACTTTATTATTTTAAAAAAAAGGTCAGCTATTTCATTAATGTAAAACGAAAATGATACTTAATTAATTTATCATTGTAAAAGAAAATTATACTAACTTAATTATTGTAAAACAATGATACTTCATTAATGTAAATGAAAACGATACTAACTTCATTAATGTAAAAAATATATACTTACATCATGAATCGCCCAGTTAACTATGGTTAATGAAACAAAACTCTCATATCCGCTCTTTTATAAATGGCGGTGAAAAACGCGACACTACAAATTAAATCAGACGGTCGTTGCCGTGATCCGGCTTTTTATGGCCGAGAGCCGGCCACATTTTCGTCCAGCCCATGTGGTCAAGATGTCACAAGCCTCATCTATTTGACCGAATTAACCGCTCCCCCCGGGTCTGTTTGTCGAGGCAAACACTAACCCTACGCAGAAAATTCAAAGACCAAACAGACGAAATAGTTGAGTCCAGTGGTTAATCCTATCTTCACTGCTGGTCCGGTCTGCGTAGGTTAACCCCCGGATTAACATGAGATTAACGTGGAGATTATCTTCAGTTTTATGTTGTTAAGTGGACTCAAACATCGTCAATAGCTATACTGTCGGGTTTATGCATTAGGTGAGGCATAACATGGACGTATAAATATCACTTAGATGTGTGAACATTTCAAACAAACTCCTTTTTCAGCGTAATGTAGCCGAAATACAAGAAAGCGCAGATTGGGATTGAATAACCTCTGTGAGCCAAACAAGCTGTTTTGGGGAGTAACGTCAAAAACTGAGGCGCAGATTTTGTCGTTAGGCATCGGTAACATCACAAATGCAGACAGAGTATCGAATCCTCGTTAATTATCGATTCTATTAACCGCTTATATTATGTGTCTTTAATTATCAGCACCGGATTAATTTCGACGCTGCTAGACACTTATGATGTGTCTTAAATTAAATGAGCTAATTAGCAGGGTTAGAATTAGGGTTATGGTCGTAACAAGTTTAAAACTAAGACGAAGGTTCAATATTATCTCTACATCAGAAGCACAGATTTAGAAACCTGAAAACAATAGGTGGACCTTATTTTGGTCGTTTCCTGCAATGTATTCACGTGACAAGGGAAAGAAGGACTGACCTTGACACCCAGGTGATATTTAATTTGTTTTCTCTCCTTACATTGACCAATTCACTTTTAAGTCTTGAGCCATTTCTTCAATGATTTCAACAATAGCTTGATTGGTCGAACTTAATGATTTAAAACAGGAAACAGTTCAAGTTACCAGCAATACATGGGTAGCGCATCGTGGAAACTAGCTCCGGCAGTAAGTTAAGTCCTGTGGTGGGGTGGGGTTGGGGCTGAGGATTACGTCACTGTGTCGAAGTTTTAAGCAGCTAGCAGAACCCCCTCACACTGATTTGATCAGCCCCCCCCCCAACACTAAGGTACACAGGTTGTTGATTACACATTTGGACCCTAATTAACGAACTAATTAACCACTTCTGCAATTCTAGTTTACATTAGAGGCGTAGTGAGGGCGGGGCGGGGGGTGCGGACCGCACCGGGTGACACCATTTACGGGGGTGACACCAAGGGAAAAAATTGCAAAATGTACAGACTATAGATAAACAACACACATGCACACACACACACATATATATATATATATATATATATATATATATATATATATATATATATATATATATATATATAGAGAGAGAGAGAGAGAGAGAGAGAGAGAGAGAGAGAGAGAGAGAGAGAGAGAGAGAGAGAGAGACTTTGTTTCATGGTGGGGGGGGGGTGGGGTGACACCACGAAGTGCCGTACCGGGTGACACCCGACCTAGCGACTCCACTGGTTTACATTGAATAACAACAAATACGCAACGGTCGGATGAAAAACTAATATCTCTTTGTGAAATCAATGGAATAAAATCGTAAAATCATGTCTTATGCTGTGTTGGCAACCCAAAAACTCGATCGAAAAGAACGGACACACCAGTAGGATCATACAAAGGTTAGGATGCCCCAGCTGTAACAAAAAAAAAAATACTTCAATCAACGGCTCCTGGAAAATGTGGAGACGCCTGGCCAGCAGATGTCAACAAATACCCGCCCGAGACCCAGGAGGTCACCCATTGGTTCACATTCTTCTGCGCCGTCCTGCAAATGTTTGCACATGCGCAGACGATCTTCGCACGTTTCAAAACAGGACAATTAACTTTGCTCCGAAAGTTTCAATGCTAGTTTTAAAAGAGGAAAATGTTCATTCCTCTGCAGATTTGTAATGCACGTTGGAAGAGTTCTGGAAATATTTTGCAGCAATACAAAATTTTGAAATTTTGAAACAGTCATATTCTAAACAAAGTAGATCTGCGAAAGTAGATATCTGTAAGTGTAAGTTCGCTCAATATGATTCTGTGATTCTGCTAACTACTTCCTCCCGATATTCAAACCAGTGTAAACGAAAACTAATGGTAGTCACTTCGTTTATAATACAAGGGGGTTTACGGAAACTGCCGATAATCGATTAGTTTACGTTTAACCAGAGGCGTAGCGACCCTTCCCAGCGCCCCGGGACAAACTTCGATTTGCACCCCCCCTCAAGATTTCGATTTTTGCACTCCCCCTCAAGATTTCGATTTGCACCCCCCCCCTCAACCTTTAATTTATTTTTCCAACCCATTTTGGCGCCCCCTAAGGTCGGCGACCGGGGACATGTGTCCCCCGCCCCCCCCCCCCCTCGCAACGCTACTGCGTTTAACGAGTTTAGCCGATTGTCTATTAAAATTTGTTTATCGGATGTCTTGGAGTAGACTCCATCAATTCGAGAACTGGTGTATAAACATGGCGCCGAACCAATATTGATTTATGACAAGTAGATGAACTATACATCATCTCCATTAGTCTATAGTGGCATACCATGTTTTGTTACAGTCTATGGGGACATACCGTGTTTTGTTACAGTCTATGGTGACATACCGTGTTTTGTTACAGTCTATGGGGACATACCGTGTTTTGTTACAGTCTATAGTGGCATACCATGTTTTGTTACACATCACCCAACAACTTTACAACAGAAATTAGTACTCTATGTTGATCCATAATAACGTAAAAATAACATTACCATTTCGACACTACAATGGTGTAAGGAATAACGCAACACCCAGTGAATACTTTGTACACTTTAATATTCAATCATACGAATGCTTTTACAGCCAGAACAAAAGCTAAATTTAATACCCGTAGCAAATAAATACTGAAATTAGCAAAAAACTTCGTGTAGCAAGCAAAATTTTGAGACTAGGCCTATCATTCGTCGTCCACACCTTTTACCGTGTCCAAACATAAGCTTTTTCGAATAACGATCTTCAACTGTTCTTTATTTCTAGCTTTCCCCAAAAATCTACAACAGGAAGAATAAACTCTGTAATAATTTTAAGACTTGTTAAATCTCACACAATATTTTTTCCTTGGAGAAATATTCATACCCTCCACCCCCCCCCCCTACATAAACCAAAGCTGTTACAAGACTGACTTGCGTACAGTGTTTCTTCCAGAAATTTTCTCCGGAGGGGGGGGGGGAGGGGGGCGCACTTGTATTTTCAGGAAAGGGGGGGGGGGGCGAACACTGTTAAAAGTATATATTTTCTATATAAATTCCATTTCTTCGGGGGTGGGGGGGGGGGGCTGGAAGAAACACTGCTTGTGTACCTCACTAATCCAGTGCGGTCTTGGAACTCTGGCTGTCGTTTATATTTCTGAGAATGACAATTTTGGGTAGAAACAGGAAGATGATCGCTGTGGTGTGGTTGATGAGCACTGCCAGGATGATGCAGTAGATCTTGTAAATCAGGCGGACCGCCGTGAAGAAGGCCGGGAACAGGGTCAACCACATGATCATGTTGGTCATGACGCAGAACGACACGTACCGGCTCTCCTTGAAGTTGCTGGGCAGGCTCTTTGTCTTGAGCGCGAACACGGAGCACAGGAAAAGGAGGACGAAATCCTGGATGAAGAACGGAGCCAGCGGCCTGATGGGGATTTGGCAGCTTCGCTCCGCGTACGGCACCTCACTGTCCGGATGTAGCTCAATCACACGGATCGGGTCGGAGATGGTCAGCGGTATGTAGGCGGCGATCTGCGTTACAAGAGGTCATGGGTCAAAGGTCGATCTGCGCTACAAGAGGTCATGGGTCAAAGGCCGATCTGCGCTACAAGAGGTCATGGGTCAAAGGCCGATCTGCGTTACAAGAGGTCATGGGTCAAAGGCCGATCTGCGTTACTAGAGGTCATGGGTCAAAGGTCGATCTGCGTTACAAGAGGTCATGGGTCAAAGGTCGATCTGCGTTACAAGAGGTCATGGGTCAAAGGCCGATCTGCGTTACAAGAGGTCATGGGTCAAAGGTCGATCTGCGTTACAAGAGGTCATGGGTCAAAGGCCGATCTGCGTTACAAGAGGTCATTGGTCAAAGGTCGATCTGCGTTACAAGAGGTCATGGGTCAAACGACACTACGATACAAAGGTCACTGTGACAAGATGAACTGTATTACGGAAGGTCAAGGTCATTGTGACAAAAGTAGATCTACATTATAGAAGGTCATTGGGACAAAAGTAGATCTACACTATAGAAGGTCATTGTGACAAAAGTAGATCTACACTATAGAAGGTCATTGTGACAAAAGTAGATCTACATTATAGAAGGTCATTGGGACAAAAGTAGATCTACATTATAGAAGGTCAATGTGACAAAAGTAGATCTACATTATACAAGGTCATTGGGACGAAAGTAGATCTACATTATAGAAGGTCAATGTGACAAAAGTAGATCTACACTATAGAAGGTCATTGTGACAAAAGTAGATCTACATTATAGAAGGTCATTGTGACAAAAGTAGATCTACACTATAGAAGGTCATTGTGACAAACGTAGATCTACATTATAGAAGGTCATTGTGACAAAAGTAGATCTACACTATAGAAGGTCATTGCGACAAAAGTAGATCTACATTATAGAAGGTCATTGTGACAAAAGTAGATCTACACTATAGAAGGTCATTGGGACAAAAGTAGATCTACACTATAGAAGGTCATTGGGACAAAAGTAGATCTACATTATAGAAGGTCATTGTGACAAAAGTAGATCTACACTATAGAAGGTCATTGGGACAAAAGTAGATCTACATTATAGAAGGTCATTGTGACAAAAGTAGATCTACACTATAGAAGGTCATTGGGACAAAAGTAGATCTACATTATAGAAGGTCATTGTGACAAAAGTAGATCTACACTATAGAAGGT